CATCTTTGTATGTGGTACTGAGGATCGAACCTGGGCCGCACACATGCCAGGCGAGCGGCTACCGTTTGAGCCACATCCCCAGCCCTCAATTTTTTTTTAATATTTATTTTTTAGGTATAGATGGACACAACACAATGCCTTTATATTTAGGTGGTGCTGAGGATTGAACCGGGGTGCCGCCCGTGCTAGGCGAGCGCTCTACCGCTGAGCCACAATCCCAGCCCCTCCCTCAATTCTTAATGGAAAGGTAACTCCCCTCCACCCTTTCTCCTCTCCTCCTAGCATCATATTTGTATCTTTTGATTTTTTTTTTTTGGTAGGTGTGACACTGGGGAATTGAACATCAGGGGTGCTCTATCACAAAGCTGTATCTCTAGCCCCCCTTTTTTTTTAAAGAGAGAGTGAGAGAGGAGAGAGAGTGAGAGACAGAATTTTTAATATTTATTTTTTAGTTCTCGGCGGACACATCTTTGTTGGTATGTGGTGCTGAGGATCGAACATGGGCTGCACGCATGCCAGGCGAGCACGCTACCGCTTGAGCCACATCCCCAGTCCCCCCTTTGTTTTTTCATGTTAGGAATTGAATCCAGGGGTGCTCTATCACTCAGCAACACCCCATCCTCTTTTTATTTTTGTACTAAGGATTGAACTCAGGGGAGGTTTACCACTGAGCTAAGTCCCTGGTACTTTTTATTTAGTTTGAGACAGATTCTCAATAAGTTGCTGAAGGCCTCATTGAGTTGAGGCTGGCCTTGAACTTTCAATCCTCCTGCCTTAGGCTCCCAAGTCACTGAGATCTACCTTTGAGTGCAGACTCCTAGGTGCTGCTGCTGCTGTCTGTATAAAACCCCTGAGAACCAGTTCTAAATGTCTCACTTGCTGCATTCATCACTGGCCTCACAAGGGCAACTTCCTATATTCCCAGGCCCACTTATGGCTACATGTTCCCTTATAGCTACATGTTCCTTCTCATTTTTAAATTTTGATACTGGGGATTGAACGAACCCAGGGGCCCTTTACCACTGAGCCACATTAGTAGCCCTTTTTATTATTATTTTTATCATTTATGTTTGAGACAGGGTCTCACAAAGTTGCTTAGGACCTCCCTACATTGCTGAGGCTGGCTTTAAAGTTGTGATGTTCCAGTCTCTAAAGTTGCCAAGATTACAGGCATGTCATCATGCCTGGCTACTTCTGGTTTTCTTTTTCTCAGGGTACTCGTCTTCCCTATAATGCCTCTTGTATGTTCCTAAACAGTCCTGTTCTGGCTTCGTGCCCCTTTGGAATGCATCTTTGGTCATCCTGTAATATTCTACAGAGTAGTGAGGAAAACCCAGACACTGGAGTTGAATAAATAAGGTCCACTGTCCCAGCTCCACCCATCTACAGGCTGGGTGATCTTGGCAGGCTAAACTTTCATATTGCTCAGCCCGTTTCCTCACTAGTAGAGCTTGGAGAATCACTACTTTAACCCTAGCAACTCTGGAACTTGAGGCTGGAGGATGGCAAGTTCCAAGCCATCCTGGGCAACTTAACAAGATTCCACCTCAAAATAAAATAAAAAGGGCTACAGATGTGGCTCAGTGTACAGCACCCCTAGGTTGTGTCCCTAGTACCACAAAACAAAAATAATAAAAAATAAAAATATTTCTGCAGTGCTCATTATGTGCAGCAGTTGTGCATGACTTGTAAGTAGTACACATTGTTTATGAATAAAAAGAATTAATTCTAACCAGGTGTGATGACACACTGTAATCCCAGCGACCTTGAATGCCGAGGCAGAAGGATTACAAGTTTGAGGCCCACCTCAGCAAATTAATGAGACTTTCTCAAAATAAAAAAATTTAAAAAGGGCTGGGGCTGGGCACAGGGGCATGAATACCTGTAATCCCAGCAGTTTGAGAGGCTGAGGTAGAAGGATTGCAAGTTCAAAGCCCAGCAACTTAGCAAGACTCTGTCTCAATATAAAAAACAATAAAGGGCTGGCATTGTGGTTAAGTACCCCTGGGTTCAATCCTTGGTATAAAAATAAATAATTCTGTTATTTAGGCTTATACTTAAGCATATACTACAAGGTAAAGTTTTGGTATGTTCCATTTCTATGCTGATTCCTATTTTTTTTAAACTTTTTTTTTTTAGTTGTAGTTTTGACACAAAATCTTTATTTCACTTGTTTTTTTATGTGTTGCTGAGGATTGAACCCAGGGTCTTACATGTGCGAGGCGAGCGCTCTACCACAATCCCAGTCCCTATGCTGTACTTTTTTGAAGGGCATACTTTTGCCCATATTTAGATGAAGAATCACTAACTCCATAACAGTATTAGAAAGAGAACTAAATCTGTGCCTCTAAATCACTGAGGAGCATTTTGAGTACTTGCAGTGAAGTCAGTGATAAAAACTTCAAATGCAGGGGCTGGGGTTGTGGCTCAGTGGTAGAGTGCTCGCCTAGCACATGTGGGGCCCTGGGTTCGATCTTCAGCACCACATAAAAATAAATAAAAGGATTGTGTCCAGCTACAACTAAAAAATTTTTAAAAAACCCAAAAACTTCAAATGCACGGCTGGGGCTGTATAGCTCAGTGGCAGAGCGCTTGCCTTGCATGTGTGAGGCACTGGATTTGATCTTCAGCACCACACAAAAATAAATAAAATAAAGGCATGTTGTCAACTACAAACAAATAAAACCTTCAAATGCAAAATTTTCATATTGCTCTAAAAATAATATTTTTATGTATTTTATATAGTATCTCATCTAGTTAACTAAAATATACACATGAAAAAATGTGTAAACATAACACTTAAAGTGTAATGTGAAATATATATAAGGAAAAACTTAAACACTTAATGTAAGTAATTACACATCTAGGTCCCTATTAATCCTGTGACAGATATTTATCAGCTTCATTTCATTCATTCATTCGTTTATTTATATGTGGTGCTGAGAATCGAACCCAGTGTCTCACACGTTAGGCAAGCGCTCTATCACTAAGCCCACAACCTCAGCCCTATAAGCTTCATTTTATACATGAGGAAATAGGTACCAAGAGGCCAAGCAGTTTGAACAAAGGCACACCATTAGTAAATGAATCTGAAGCCTGGATTCCACTAGTCTGATACTCCACTTCACAGAACTGTGGAAACTACATGTCAGCTGCTTGACCCAAGTGCCTGATTTTCCCCTCAAATTCCTTAAGAGTGGTGTTCCTGGTGCAGGCGTTGTGGCTTAGCAGTAGAGCACTTGCTGAGCATGTGTGAGGCACTGGGTTTGATCCTCACCACCATATAAAAATAAGTAAAATATGGATATTGTGTCCATGTACAACTAAAAATAATTTTTAAAAGTTAAAAAGAATGGTGCTCCTCTGTCCCCTAAGTCTTAACCATATATCTCTTCAAATATTTGACACTCTCTTCTCTCCCCAGAATCCCCACATCTAGTTATTTTCATTTGTCCTTTCCCTCTCTTATGTTGGTGTAGATATCACCTCATCCTGCAGCACACACACAAAGTCTACCTCATAAATTCCTACAGCCCACTTTACACATTACCATTTTTTTTTTTTTTTTGATACTGGGAGCTAAACTCAAGTGCATTTTAACAGCAAGCTATATCTCTCGCCCTTTTTGATTTTTTAAGGACCATATGTATTGGACAACCTAAGGCAGGCACGGTCCATAAGCCACATGCTTGTTGTTTAAACAGAGAGGGGGAGATGTTGAGAGCCACAGCCAAAGGGGCCCCAGCAAACTTCCAGCTGCCAGCAAGCTTCAGACTGCCCCAGCAACATCTAGCTGATTGGCTCCTCTTCGGTGATGTTCATTGGGCTGTTTCCCTGCCCTTCAGACTGCCAGCTGATGATTGGCTCACAGCTGCCCCAGCAACATCTAGCTGATTGGCTCCTCCACGGAGCTGCTCATTGGGTGACTTCTTTGGCTCTGCCCACGCAACCCAGCCAATCGGCCTCAAGAGGAGGAGGATTGTGGGAGGAAAAGGCTGGTGTGGGGGAGAGAGGCTTGTGGAAGCCGGTGGTGGCAGTTGGGCTCTGAGGGTTTTTCCCTGGAGCTGTTTTGTTTGGCGTTTGTAGTTCTAAAAATAAAGTTAGTTTCTTTTTGACAAGTGGCTCCTGATTTGTGCCAAGCCAGACTTCGGCATTTGGTGGCCCGTACGGGGATCGAACCCGCGACCTTGGCGTTATCAGCACCAGGTCTCACAAAGTTGCTCATTATTATTTAGTAATCGCGGGTACAGCATCTTTGTTTGTATGTGGTGCTGAGGATTGAACCCGGGCCGCACGCATGCCAGGCGAGCGCGCCACCGCTTGAGCCATATCCCCAGCCCCATACCTGGATAATTCTATTCTTCTTGGAACATGCAGCAATTTTGACTAGAGTATTATACATTTGACAATTTATCATATCATATCATATTATATATGCCCATGATTTATTTTTCAAGTCTGTTCAACAAAGGCAGAGACTGTTGTTTTTCTTTTGGTGCTAGGGACTGAATCCAGAAGTGCTCTATTGCTGAGTTACATTCCCATCTCTAAGTTACTCAAGCTAGCCTCGAACTTAGGGGATCCTCCTGCCTCAGTTTCTAGTTGCTGAGATTACAGACATGCACTATTATGCCTGGCAAAGTTTGTCTTTTCTGAGGGTGGTTGAGGGAGGGAGAATCCTGAAACAGTAAGACTCTATCTAAAATGAACAAAGACCTCAAGATAGAGCCATCTGTCTTAGTGGGAAAGGGGGATAGTAAAAACTTTTAGAAAGGGGCTGGGGATGTGGCTCAAGCGGTAGCGCGCTCGCTTGGCATGTGTGCAGCCTGGGTTCGATCCTCAGCACCACATACCAACAAAGATGTTGTGTCCGCTGAGAACTAAAAAATAAATATTAAAAAAATTCTCTCTCTCTCAAAAAAAAAAAAAAAAAAAAACTTTTAGAAAACCAAATAAAGCAAATCAACATTGAGTAAAAACAGTTCCAACACCCAGGAATCTCCAAACAGTGACAGGCAGCAGCAACTCCTTTCCTTTATTTCTTCCCTGTGTAAAAGGAAATTCAAGTTTTCCAGCTTTCCTTTCCTGCCCTCAGGTCCCCAATCAGACAAGTGACCACAGGCACCAAATCTTAGGCTGGATAACAGCACAGGCCTCAGACATCTGCCTCCAATTCTGAGGTCCAAATGGATATTTGTGTTAAGTCAGCATTAAATCCATCAAAAAAGAAAAGCGCCACTCAAAACCCGTGGGGGCAGCTAGGCCTGAAGCTTTAGGGTAGATCAGAGGCAGTCTTCTGAGGAATGAGTCTCAAGACAAGAGGCCACCTAAGCTTGGTTGGATGGAACCCCACAATAATGTTTGTGTAGAGGGCTGCTGAGGGTAAGTCAACTCAGTTGTCTGAAGTGGCACACACAAATCTTTCAAAGCAGATCCTGGTCACAGCTCCACCTTCATGTGCCCAAGTGGTTGCTGGGTCAGCTGCAGGGCAGAGGCAGGCTTCCAAGGAGAGGGAGACAATGGGGTACTTCTAGGCCACATAAGCCTGTCTCCTGATTTCCAAGAGGGAAAGCTTATTCTCGGGGTCGGTTGACCATGACTTCGCCCAGGGCCTCCAACACCTCCCGCTTGTAGTCTTCAAAGTCCCCATCAATTTGGCTAACACTTTGCTCCTCCACTACCCACAGTTGGCAGTTGGTTTCTGTGATGAGCCGGGCATCATGGCTGACGACAATCACAGCTTGAAGAAAGACGATGAGAACAGAAGGCAGGGAGAAAGGAGGAAGAAAAATCAGAACATGGACAGAAGGGAGTTCCAGCCAAAGGACACTACAGCTTGTTCCCCAATGGGAGAAGGAAGGTATGTTCAGAACTGACTTACCACCCTTGTACTCATTGATGGCCTCCCCCAGAGCATCGATAGATTCTATGTCCAAGTTATTGGTTGGCTCGTCCTATGGAGGAGGAAGAATGCCATTACAACTCCTACCTTGCACTGCTGTTACTCTTTTCCCATTCCCATTCAGTTCTCTCACCAAGATGAGGACATCGGGCTCCCGACAGGCCAGCTCTGCAAAGACAACTCGGGCTTTCTGCCCACCTGTCACAAAGAAAAAGGAGGTCTAAGGCTGCAGTTGTGGCTCAGTGGTAGAGCACCACATAAAGATAAAATAAAATAAAGGTATTGTGTCCATCTACAACTAAAAAAATTTAAAAAGAAGGAAGAAAAAGGAAGTCTATCATATCTCCCACCATCTTACACTGCTGAAGGTAACCCTCAAAGAGTGCCCATGTGTGCCCTAAGGCTCCCCATTTCTTGGTTCCTTCTCCTTTCTGCTCTAGGAACAGTGTGTACATGCATGATGAGGAGGGCATCTTCCCCAGCCCCTGGACTGGTACCAGAGAGTTTGCAGATCTGGATGGTGTGCGCATGACTCTCAAGGCCAAAGCGGCCCAGGCACTTGCGTGCATCCTGGTAGGCTAGGTTGAAGCTCCGTTGCAGATATTCAGTGGGCGTCTCCTCCATGTGCAGCTGCTCTGCATATTGCTGGTTGAAGAAGCCAATTTTCTGCCCAAGAGGAAAGGGAGGTAACCAATCAAAGTGGTGCTTCCTCTACCCAATTTTCAGTCCCTGATTTCCAAAGTCAACTTACCAGTCGGTGGTTCTTTCTCATTTCCCCATGTGTCTGCAAGGAAAAAGCAAATGGTAAGGGTAGGGAAAGGGCAAAAGGGGCTGCACTTCCAGATCCCAACTTTTCTTTTTTCTGTGGTGCTGGGGATTAAACCCAGGGCCTTGTATATGTGAGGCAAGCACTCTACTAACTGAGCTATATCCCTGGCTCCCCAGATCCCAACTTTTCTGAAAGAAAACACCAGAATTGGGCTGGGAACAAGTACACACACATATCCTAACAGGATGAACGCACACCCAGGAAATCAGAAGGGGCAAAAGGAGTAAGAAGGAAAATAAAGGAAAGAAGAAAAAAAAGGACAACCAGGAAGGGATTACCCTCCACTGGGAGAGGAGAAAAGGCTATTGTCTTTTTAAAGCACCATATGGCAATACTCTGCAAAAGTCCTGCAAATACCTATTACCAAATAAATTATGGTAGACCATATAAACTAAACGTATGAGTATATAATAAATAGCATACAGAAACACTTAATTGTTATCTGGAGAAGGCTCATAACAATTCATGTGATACCCCACTTCATAAGAATATTAATGTATCTTTGCAAAGGAAAAAAAGGAGAAAGGTATCCACCAGAACAGAAATACCAATCATATCTATACTTTCCTCTTGGCTCAAACAATTCTTTTTTTGCCACTGTGCAACCTGCTTCAACACTAGGAGTCTACAGGCACAGAGGCCAGGCAATGGTTTAGGGTCGGAGTATGCTCTGGCATGGGATACTATGCTAGAGGCCCAGGGGACGGGCCTGGCATAAATCCAAACCCATGCATAGCTTATGTATTTTTTTTTTCTTTTTTTGGTACCGGGAATTAAACTCAGGGGCGCTCAACACTGAGCCACATGCTCAGTCCTACTTTGTATTTTATAGGGTCTCAGCATCTTGTTTTTGCTGACGCTGGCTTTGAACTCCTAATCCTCCTGCCTCAGCCTTCTTCTAAGCCACTGAGATTACAGGCATGTGCCATCATGCCCAGCCTCAATATGTATTTTTTTTGTAACATGTAAAATTGGCTTCTTCAACATGGAGAGGTACCCCCACTGCAACCCAGGCTTTCCTTTCTCTCTTCCCTAAACTGATTTACACTCTCCTCCTCTATTACTCCTTAGGGAGATGCATCATCTGTGATGGGGTTTTCAACCCACCCTACCAAGGGGGTTCCCTGACTCTAGCTTCCATTGGACAGGGGGGCCATCACACTTCTCATACTCTCCCTTCTTGGCTCCAGGACTCACCGGTGTCAGCTTGCCTGTCAGCAGCAGGAGTAGTGTGCTTTTCCCCACACCATTAGGACCCACGATGCATACTGAAAGAAAGAAATGACCAAACCAGGAGATCTCCAAAACTACTCTCCCTGTGACTCCTGTTCCACACCCAAACCACCCTATACCAACTCACTCCTTGAGTCCATGTCGATGCCAAAATCCAGGTTCTTAAAGAGTGGTTTCTGCCCCTCATAGCCAAATGTCACACCTGAAAGTCAGCAAATGAAGCAATTTATGCTCATTTCAGTTACTGTAAAGGTGACCCTAAATGTCCTGGCCTCAGAGGAAAAGAAAGGTCCCTGCTGGGGCTGGGACTGTGGCTTAGTGGTAGAGCACTTGCCTAGCATGTGTGAGGCACTGGGTTTGAGCCTCAACACCACATAAAGATAAATAAAGGTATTGTCCATCTACAACTAAACAATAAAGATATTTTTAAATAAAACCTGTTTAAAAAAAAAAAAAAAAAAAAGAAAGGTCCCTGTATCGCTGGAGTCTGGGTGCACTCACTTGTGCTTCCTGTTGGCAGTGGGTAGTACTCACCATGCAGACCCAGCACAGGAGGGCTGAGTGGCGGGGGATTTGGGAAAGTGAAGCGCACAGTGTACTCCTTCGGGCGCTTCAGGAGCTCAGGGGCTTCCTGGGATTCCTCATCTTGGTTTTTCCGACGGCATTTCTGCTGCTTTCGAGTCAGGGCCTCCTTTGTTTGCTTTTCCTGGAGGGAAAAGAAAGAAATCTGTATGCTACCCAGTACACTGTTCTTGGAAGGTGTTCCACAGACCCCCTGCACTGTTAGGAGAAGAGTGGTAGTGGTACTCACCGCCTGCTTGGTGGACTTGCCACCAGCCTTCAGCTCCTTCAGCTTTTTTTCCTGCTTCTCATACTGTTTCAGCAGTTCTTTCTGCTTTTGCTGGTACATCTTCTTGAAGGTCACTAGCATGCAAAAGGGAGAGCAGTTTCAACGTTGACCCTCTCTCTAGCAGAGGGACAACTGAGGATAGACAAGGATGGGGAAGACTATCACTGTTAAGAAATCTATAAAGATTCAGTTATCACAATGCCCCTACAGCCTTGCTACCCAGGCCACCTATTGAGGGTCAATCTCTCCCTCTGCCCTTCACAAACAATCCTACTTACTATAATTGCCTCTATAGTAGTGGAGCCGCTGGGCATCGAGATGGATGATATCAGTACACACATCATCCAGAAAGCCCTGGTCATGGGAGACAATCAGCAGTGTTTTCCGCCAGCCCTGAAGATAGCTGGGTTCAGAGAAGTAGGGAAGTGTCACAATGGTGAAGGGACAGACAAGTCCAGAAAAGCAAACAGACAATGAGGAGGACTGGAAAAGAGGAGGACTGGACCAGGAGGTGTCAAGGGCATCGCAGACAACAACTAGAGGGAATGAGGGCAGGGAGGGATGGGGTAAAGTACACAATGGAAACCAATGACCCAAGGCCATAACCCAGGGCAACGCACTTATTGAGCCAGATAACAGCATTGAGGTCCAGGTGATTAGTGGGTTCATCCAACATCAGCAGTGTAGGCTCCATGAACAGTGCCCTAGAGCAGAGAATGGCAGTGCTGTCAGGGCTGGAAGAAGATCCCTGCTCAGCAAACCCCAGAGAAGCCTCCGGGAGGCAGAGCCCATGAAAACAAACACTCCCTCCTAACCTCTCTTCAGAGATGGTTTTGGGCAGAAGATGTTGACAAGAACATATCATCAGGTAGGGAGAGAAATGGAGAAAAACTCCAAGGTCTCAAAATGTACATAGTAAGAGAGAAGTTGACCTCAGAACTCCCTACTGGCCTTGAAAGAGTGGGAAAAAGTGAGAAGGTCCTAGTAGTTTGGGGTTGGAAGGGAGATGGTGAGGCAGATGGCCCACCTGGCCAGAGAGACACGCATGCGCCAACCGCCTGAGAACTTCTGTGTGGGCCTATTCTGCATTTCAGGGTCAAAGCCCAGACCAGCCAGGATCCGTCGTGCTTTGGCCTCTGCAGCTGCTGCCCCAGTGGCTCGCAATTCCTCATATACCTGGGAGGAAGAAGAGGACTCATGTCTGAGGGCCTAGAGGCCCCTCCCCCCAAGTCTGAGCCATGTCCCCTGTGCCATCTCCTCTACCTTCTCTAGCCTCTCAGCAGCTGTGTCATCCCCCTGTTCCAACTGCCTCTGAAGTCGTCGTTCCTCTTCCAGCAGCTTCAATCGCTTGGTGTCAGCTCGAAGAACAGCCTGCACTGCTGGTGTTTCATCTGCTACTACCTCTGGAGGGCAGGGGGACAACACTCAGGTCACTTCTGGGCCCACAGAACCTATTTTTCTCTTCCCTTTAGATCCAGTGCTGGTCTGCCTAACCTCTCCCAGCACTTTGTACTTATTCCAAATAAGATATTCTCAAATCTTTCATTTATCCTCCTCTCCTGTCTTTCTAGCAACCCTTTCCCAGGCCCCAGCCTCCTTCATGTCCTTCCCAACTTCACAACCACAACTTCTATTTTTGACTGGCTCTTCTGCTCTAATTGCCCACCCTGTCTCCCTCTCCACACTGGCTCACCCTGCTCACACAGCAGCACATCAATGTTAGGAGGGATGCTCAGGGCACGGTTGGCGATGTGCTTGAGGAGTGTGGTCTTGCCCTTGCTGGGGAATGAGAGCTATGAGGATCAGGCCAACATGGAGAAATCCCTTCTTTCCCCTCCAGTCCCATCTCCTCACCCGTTAGGTCCCACCAGCCCATAGCGGCGTCCGGCTACGATGTATAGATCTGCATTCACAAACAACTCCTTGCCATGGGCCGAGATACTGAACTTCTCCAGCTACAGCCATTGGGACAGGGGGCAAAGGGGAAGGTCAAAAAACATAAGAAGTCTCATTCTAGGACAGGAGCTACAGCTTTGGCCCCATAGGGGAGATCGACAAACCCCTACTTCCAGCAGAATCACCCTTTTCTCACCATAGCAGGCTACTGCCTCTTATCGGAGTCTTCCCATCTCTAGCCAGGTTGGTGTACCCTATTCTTTTCCCTCCCCAGGTGGACCCCTCTGCTTCCACTGTGTTTTCTGTCTCCTTGCTCAGGTTGGTAGAACCCAAGATGCAGAAAATACGTTCCCATTTTCTTCCTGGTGGAGCAGCCCTTTCACACCCCGACTTCCAGGGTTGCCACAGCCACTCAGGGCAGGTGAGAGAACCCACTCCTTCCTAGGTGATCAGGATGGACAGGGACTCCTCAGATCTCACCTTGATATCAGATGCATTTTCTAACATGGCCTGTCGGGAGGACACCTCTGCCTGGGATACAGAGAAGTCATTTTCGGCAGCATTAGCTGCTTTTAATGAAGCCACCTGGCGCTCATAATCCATCTGAGAAGGAAAAACTACATTGGAGGTCATCTGTAACATTGCCAGTTTCCTGTTATCATGATACAATCCCATGTCATCAGGCATTAAGATGATGCTCAGAGCATAAGTCTTTCCTTGCTCTAATTGTTTTATTTCAAGTAGTCCCCAAAGCTCTCCTGCCTTGTCCCTAACTTCACATATGCCTTAGTTAAATCATTAAAAAGAACAACAAAAAAACCTTTATTTTGACCACTAAGAACCAATGACTTACCTGTTTCTTGAGCTTTTTCTTCTCCTTTTTGCTAAGGTGAGCATAGGGATCATCTGCCTTAGACTCTCCCTCTTCCTCCTCTCCTTCCTCTGAACCCTGTGGAAAGCATGGATGATGGAAAAAAATAAAGACCCTTCTATAACTTGAATTTCTATCATACATACCCACCTTACTCCCCTCCCACCTGGCCCCAGTTCCACAGCTGGTTCTGTCCTCCTTCACCCACAATCCTGAGAGGTCTTGGGATCCTATCTTATTCTCACTCCCACCCCTTGCTCTCCATGCAGTACTCTATTAGTCTCTGCCACTAAGTATAGGACAACACAGATGGTATGAATATGAGTATATGAAGTGTAACAATGTTTATGTACCTAGAGATACAATTTTTAAGAAAATATAACTGAGGGTGGAATAAATGAGTTTTAAATGATATTCATTTGTATCAAATAAATTTCTGTAGTTTATACATTAACATGCAAAGAGAGGATCAGGCAGCCCTAATGTACAACCAGTGAAGAATATAGAACTTCAGAACTAGAAACTACTTAGCGGGGTTAGGGGAGTGTAGTAGAGTGATAAAAGTGCTTGCCTAGCATGTCTGAGAGGTCCTGTGTTCAATCCCTAGCACCATCAAAAATAAATAAACCATTAGTTATACGAACTCTAGAAAACACTAGAATTCTGTACATCACCCAGATGGAAAAACTGAGAAAACAAGAGGTAGGAGGGTCACACAGGTAGTGAATGGCAGATCTGGACCTGACTAAGATAAACCGTAGGGCTCTTTCCTCTCTGGATCAGGAGCCAAAAGCTACAGTTCATGAGCCAAATCTGACCTGATGCCTGTTTCTATATGGCCTGTGAGATAAAAATGGTAGTTGGATGTAGCTCAATGATAGAGCACCACTGGATCAATCCCTAGTAACATACAAAAAAATTAAAACCAACAAAAACCAAAAAGGAAGAATACGCAACAGAGATCATTTGTGAACTATAAAGCCAAAAATATTTACTATGTGGCCCTTTATAGAAAAGTCTGCTCTGGTAGTGACAATGCCCCCCATCAAAACTATCCCAGAAGGGCCACAGAGTCTCAGTCCTTCCCCAAACCTCCCCCAAGCACGATAAATACCTGTTCTGACTTTTTGGCCTTCTCTTTTCCTTGTTTGGGAGGCTCCTTTTCTTTCATTATTTCATCTTCTTCAGCTTCCTCTTCACTATCCAGAGCAGCAAATTTATTTTGAGGCTAATTGAGAAAAGACAGGAATGGTGAAATGCTCTAATTCTTGAGACCCAGTATCCCCTTCTGTCGGTCACTCTCACCTTGGCCTTCCCTTTCGTCTTTTCTTCCTTTCCCTTTTTGCCCTTGAGCCCAGGCTGTTGCTCCTCAGATACAGCCTGAAGGAGATACAAGCACACACAGAAATTAGTTTGTTGCTCTGCTGCTGAGTACAAGCATTTTTAGGGAGCCTATTGTATTCCAGTTAACGATACTGAGTACTACTCCCGAGAAATGAGACCCAGAAAAGCCTCCAAAAAGAGAACTTGAGAACATCAGCAAAGCTGGGCAGGATAGCACATGCTTGCAATTCCAGCAACTCAGGAGGATGAGGCAAGAGGCTCACAAGTTTTGAGATCAGCCTCAGCAATTTAGGAAAACCTTGTCTCAAAATTAAAAAGGGGATGGAGTTGTAGCTCAGTGGTAGATTGCTTGCCTAGCATGTGTGAGACATTGGGTTCAATCTCAGCACCACATTAAAAAAAATAAAATAAAGACACTGTGTCCCTCTATAGTTAAAAAAAAATTTTAAAAATATTAAAAGTGGCTGGCAATGTAATCAGTGGTAAAGCATCCCTGGGTTCGGGGAAGTTGGGGATGGAAGAGAACACATGTGAGAGAACATCAGTAAATCTAAGGGACTCTGAGTCAGGCAAGTGCACAAAGTGGGTAGGTGGTACCAATGCAGCATGGACGGCTTCCTTGGAAGGATGAATCTAGAGAAGAGGTATTGGATGTTGGGCTTGGAGGATTCCAGGGAAGGGAAAGAAGCAACATGAAGTACAAAGGCTTCAATACTGACATCGTTAAAGTGAATGCCAACATGTGGTCAGGCTGATGGGAAAAGGAAGAGTCCCAAGTGAAAAAGCAAGGGCCAAGGGCCCTTGTTTTAGATTTTGAATTTAAGGCAAGAGAATCACTGAAGATTGTTAAATGATAGAGTATTTTTTTGTACCAGGAATTGAACTTAGGGGCACTCAACCACTAAGCCACATCCCCAGCCCTTTTTTGTATTTTACTTAGAGACATGGTCTCATTGAGTTGCTTAGCGCCTCTCTTTTTTGCTGAGGCTGGCTTTGAACTTGTAATCCTCTTGCCTCAGCCTCCGGGGCCACTGGGATTATAAGCATGTGCCACCAGGCCAGTTGATCAAAGAGTATTTTTAAAAGATAGATTTGATAGTTTAAATAAGATAAATCTAGAACAGCTAAGTTTAAAGCAGAAAACTACCACACTGTGGCCAGAATGGGGTGTAACTGCATCACTTTCACCTTATTGATCCGATTCTTCTCTGGCTTAGCAGCCTTAGGAGGATGTTTTTCTTCCTCCTCCTCCTCTTCACTCTGATCCTGAATCAGGGCTGCAAAAACATTACCACCCTAAAAAAAGGGACACAAAAGTCAATGTGATGGTCACAGTTGCATGTTTAGGGTCTTTGGTTACCACACCAATGGCTCACCTTGGTCTTCTTTCCTGCTCGGGGTATTGGGGCAGGTACTGAAATGACAAGGGGAAAAGATGAGGTTGATAAGAGAATTCTGCTTGGCTCCTCCATTTTATCCACATCCACAATCAAAATATGAGGCATTCCACATCACGCAAGGAATCCATGTACCTACTTTCCCTCAGGTCACTTACTCTCTTCCTCTTCGTCACTGGCAGGTACAGAAAGCTTCTTAAGGCGCTCCATAAGCTCTTTTTCCTCTCCATCATCATCCACATCCTTCTTCCGCCGGCCTTTTCGAGTGTCTCGCTTCTTCTTTTGCTGCTGAAAGAAAACGAAAAGGGGAGGATGAAGGCCCCTGCTGTTTCTCTGCACCAAGGAATGCTCCCCATCAGATGAGTTGGCTGGAGGTGGACCCCTGATGCTCCAGGATTAGGGGCCCCTATCACTTGTACCTGTTGCTGTTGCTGCTGCTGCTGCTGTTGTTCCTTCTCCTTGAGCACTTTCTCTTCTTCCCCAGCCTGTTTATCTTCTACTGCCAGCTCCTCAAAGAACTATAAAGGGGTTAAGATATGATTCAGTGTGGCTCCAAGACCAATCAGGCCCTGCATCCTACCCTCACCCCTTCTCAATTTTCTTAAAAAAAAAAAAAAAAAAAAAAAAGGCCTGGCACAGTGGTGCATGCCTGTGATCCCAATCAATTGTGGAGGCTAAGGCAGGAGGACTGCAAGTTCAAAGCCAACTTGGGCAACTAGCAAGACCCTGTTTGGGGGGCAGGAAGGGAAAAAAGGCATACACTGGGGGGAAAGGAGTGGGGGTATAGGTTAGTGGTAAATGCTCTCAAGTTGCTGGGATTATAGGCGTGCACCACCACCCTTTGTTCAATCCCAATACACCACCTCCCTACCACACACACAAAAAAATAATGTAAAAAAACAAACCAAACCAAAAAACCCCAAAAATAACAGAGGATACCTTATTTTTAATGTTGTAGTTTTGAGATGGGGATCTCACCTGTACTGCCCCAAGGCTGGCCTCAAACTCCTAGGCTCAAGTAAGCCTCCTGTCTCAGCCTTCCAAGTAGCTGTACTACATGTACCTGGCTCTGGCCCCTCTCTTGACAAAAGTTTTTTTCCTCCCCTCATAGACTTCTCACCCACCTTCACAGAGCCATTTATTTATTTATGGTACTAGGGACTGAATCCAGGTACACTTAATCACTGAGCCACATCCCAGCCCCTCTTTATTTTTTATTTTAAGACAGGGTTCTGCTGGGTTGCTTTAGAGCCTTGCTAAGTTGCTGAAGCTAGCCTTGAACTTATGGTATCTTGCCTCAGCCTCTCAAGTTGCTGAGATATACAGGCGTGCACCACCATACCCAGTATGGCCATTTATTTTGCCTGGAAACACCCACAGTCATTGCTCTTCCTCAACCCTCATTTTCTCACCGTCTTTTTGGTCTTCTTGTCCTTCTTCCCTTTCTTCACCACCTTGTCTGGAAGGTTAAGCAGACATCATAAATGCTCAGCTACAAATTCCAAAGCTGCCTGATCTCCCCTGCTAAACTTACAGTGGCCCTCACACCTCATACCTGTGATATTTTTCAGCTCAAGTATTACTCCCTAGACTTTGTGCTGCCCCACAATTCCTAGCATTCCTATCCCACCCCACAAGTATCTCTTTACTAAACAGCTACCATGCATCAAACAAAGCAGCAAATGAGACAACTGTGCTTCCCTCTGGAGTGTGTAGGCTTTGGGAAGAGATTTCTTTGTCCCCCCGCCTTGGTATCAGGATTTGAACCCAAAGGGACTTAATCTCTGAGCAACATCCCCAACTCTTTTTATACATTTTTATTAGAGACAGGGTCTCACTAATTTGCTTAGGGCCTGGCTAAGTTGCTAAGGCTGATTTGATCCTCCTGCCTCAGCCTCCCCAGCCACTGTGACTATAGGCATTTACCACTGTGCTCAGCTTGGGGGAGAGACTTTTCAAAAGCAATTACAAGCTTGGCAGAGTGGTGTACACCTGTAATCCCAGCAACTCGGGAGGCTGAGGCAGGAGAATCACAAGTTTGAGGCCAGAATTGACAACTCAATGAGGAAACTTTGTGAGACTCTCTCAAAAACAAAGCAAAAAAAAAAAAAAAAAAAAAAAAGGTCTGGGGATGTAAAGTGACCCTGGGCTCAAATCCCAGTACGAAAACAAAACTAAAAAGGTAAAGCCTACTTGGCAGTATGCAGAGGGATCAACCCCACTGTCCTCATCTCTGGTGCCCTGCCATCAAATGCCGCAGTCTGGCTGGGCACAATTCAGGAGCCACTTGAACTTTATTTTTAGAACCACACAGGCCAAACAAAACAGCTCCTCAGGAAAAACCCTCAGAGCCCAACTGCCACCACCACCGGCTTCCCACAAGCCTCTCACACAAACACCAGCCTCACCACCTCCCACAATCCTCCTGCTCTTGAGGCCCATTGGCTGGGTCATGCGGGCGGAGCCAAAGAAGTCCCCCAATGAGCATCAGCGCAGAGGAGCCAATCAGCTAGATGTTGCTGGGGCCCCTTGGCTGTGGCTCTCAACATAATCGCTTTTAAGCTAACACCTGAAGCATGAGTAGCTGGTAGGCACATGGTGGGGTTCCAGTGCTACACACAAGTCCAGCTATAAGAAAGCATATCCACTGGGCAACAGAGAAAGTCTTACTATGGCTAAAGCTTAGAGGCTGAAGGGTAGAATGGCAAAGGTAAGGCTGGAGTAAGGGTTTATGATCATGTGTGAGGATATATAGGCGTTTATAATCATGAATGAGGCCTTTATGTATATGGTCACTTTTGTCCCTGTAAGTCCCGCTCTGGCTTCAAGTGGAGCAAAGACAGGAGTGAACAAGAGTACTGGGCAATCTGTTGGGAGTCCGTCATAGCAGTCCAGGAGACAGACAACAGTGGCTTGATTAAGGGTGGTGGCAGGGCTGGGGATGTGGCTCAAGCGGTAGCGCGCTGGCCTGGCATGCGTGCGGCCCGGGTTCGATCCTCAGCACCACATACAAACAAAGATGTTGTGTCCACCCAGAACTAAAGAATAAATATTAAAAATTCTCTCTCTCTCTCTCTCTCTCTCTCTCCTCTCACTCTCTCTTTTTTAAAAAAAAAAGGGTGGTGGCAAGGGGAGAAAGATAAACAAGAATTCAGGGGCTTAGTGGTAGAGTGCGCGCCTAGCACGTGTGAGGCACTGGGTTCGATTCTCAACCACATATAAATAAATAAAAGTATAAATAAATAAAAGTAAAGGTATTGTGTCCATTTGCAACTAAAAAAAAAAGAATTCACAGGATGGAGGTAGTGTTAAAAAAAAAAAGTGAGAACAGTATGACCCTATGTGCATACATAATTACACGACCAGTGTAATCCTACATCATGTACAACCAGAATTATGAGAAGTTACAGTTCATTTATGTAAAATGGGTCAAAATGCATTCTATTGTCATGTATAACTAATTAGAACCAACAGATTTTTAAAAATAAAAGAAAAAGTGAGCATGCAAGAGACCATTCCTATATTTCTTTATTTTTTTGGTACCAATAATGAACCCAGGGCGCTCAACCACTGAGCCACATCCCCAACCCTTTTTATATTTTATTTTTGAGATAGGATGTAAGTTGCTTAGAGCCTTGCTAAGTTGCTGAGACTAGCTTTGAACTTGCCATCTTCCTGCCTTAGCTTCCAGAGCTGCTGGGATTATAGGCGTGATCCACCACACCTAGCCATTCTTATCTTGTTAGCTACTAAAATTGATTATAGGTTCCATTCACTAATTTAGGAGACAGTGGAAAAGATCCCTTCCCCCAATTTCAACTTCCATGCGGGGAATGATAGGAAGATTTCATGAATTCAGTTTGGGATGCTGTGTATGATATGTTGTATGTAAGCCATGTAAATAGTTATCTGGTAAAACAGCTGGGTCCATGCCCCATCTGCTCTGCTCATACATTAACAACACAGATCACAATGTCATATTTACCTGTTTGTTAGTTTTTTATTCTAAAAAGCCACCTGAACAGTTTAATTTGTATTCACAGGGAGCAAAGTGGGAGGTCAATGAGTTTGCTGACTTGGTGGGCATGGTTGCATGCCTGTAATCCCAGTGGCACAGAAGGCTGAGACAGGAGAATCTCGAGTTCAAAGCCAGCTTCCGTAATGTCGAGGCACTAAGCAACTTAGTGAGAACCTATCTCTAATAAAATAAAAAAATTGGGCTGGGGATGTGGCTCAGTGGTTGAGTGTCCTTGAGTCAATCACCTGTTTAAAAAAAAAAAAGTTTGCTGACTGGATTACTTTCAGCTCCTCCCTTCAGTCCATCTGTTTCCCTGAAGGTAGAGGACTATGTCTAATATCTGCCACCCATCAGATTGAGAGATAGTTACTAGCCTCTTGATTTCTCTTTATGCCAGGCCTATCCACTATCATAGAAACCATATATTCATCTAAAGCATTCCTATAATCATTTAACAAGACAACAACAACAACAATAATGACAAACAAAGAAACTAACCACAATAGCTTAAATATTCTTAGGCTTGAATTCTCAAAACCAGAATTCCAGGAATTCCACAGAAATCTCTCTTTTTTTGTAGTGGGAATTGAACCCAGAGCTCTGAACTACATCTCCAATCCTTTCTATTCTTTGAGACAGGATCTCACTAAGTTGCTCAGGATAACATCTAATTCTCCTGCCTCAACTTCCTAAATTGATAGGATTACAGACACATGAAACCAAGCCAAGCTAAGTTAGGAAAGTTTTACTGAACATCTACTTTGCTAAAAAACCAGAGACAAGGAAGGGCAATCAGTCTCCTATCCTTTCTGTTTCCTACTTCCACCTATGCTCTGGACATTGGCATCTCCCTGATGAAGTCCCTTGAATTTTACATACACATACATACACATGTATATTTTAGTTGTAGATTGACACAATACCTTTATTTTATTTATTTTTATGTGGTGCCAGGGATTGAACCCAGTGCCTCATGCATGCTAGGTAAGCACTCTACCACTGAGCCACCCACCCGGCTCTCCCTGAAATTCTTCTTTCTTAATACTTATTTTTCAGTTGTAGTTGGATACACAATATCTTTATTTTTATGTGGTGCTGAGGATCCAACCCAGGGTCTCGCATGTGCTAGGCGAGCCCTCTACTGCTGAGCCATAACCCATGCCCCAAATTCTTTTTTTTTTTTTTTTTTTTTTTTTTTTTTTTTTTTTTTTTTTTTTTTTTTTTTTTAGTTTTCAGCGGACATAACATCTTTGTATGTGGTGCTAAGGATGGAACCCGGGCCGCACACATGCCAGGCGAGCGCGCTACCGCTTGAGCCACATCCCCGGCCCCAAATTCTTTTTTTTTTTTTTTAATTTTTATTTATTTACTTTTAGTCATACATGACAGTAGAATGCATTTTGATATATACTACATACATGGAATATACATACACCAATCATATTGTCTATTCTATTCTGCTGCCCTGAAATTCTTATATCTTCATTTACTGTTGTCCCCCATCCAGAATACATTTCAAAATCTGATCCCAGTATTAGATACTAGTGTGATAGGATTAGAAAGATGAGTAAAATCAATAACAAAAGGCTTTACATGCCAGCCCAAGGAATTCAATCCTAAATACATTAAAAGGGAGGACCCACCCAAGTACATAAGAAGAAATGATGTGATCAGCTTGCCCTGACAACATGCTAATTTCCTCCAAAGACTAATACAATCAAACTACGCCCCTCCTTTTTTTAAACCAGGGATTGAATCCAGGGGCACTTAATCACTTAGTCACATCTCCAGCCCTTTTTATTTTTGAGACAGTGTCTCGCTAAGTTACCTAGGGCCTCACTAAATTGCTGAGGCTGGCTTTGAATTTACAATCCTCCTGCTTCAGCCTTCCAAGTTGCTGGAATTATAGGCATTTGCCACCACGCCCAGTTTTAATTTTTCACCCTTCATCCTAGTTCTGGTTCATGTCACTTCCTTAGTAACTATTTGAAGTGTTCATTCTCTTACCACTTCTTACCTGAATCACTGCCAGAGCCTCCAAAATAGGTTCCCTGCCTCTATCAACTAATTCAAAGCCATTCTCGACTGCTCAGTATCATCAGGATAAACTTGATCCTATCATTCAGTTATTTAATTCACTTCCTTCTTAATGCCTTTAGGATTAAACTTCTTGAAAGAGCACTTGAAACCTTTCATATATTTTGCCTGTACATCTTCTCAACCCCTTCAGAACAGTCACAAGGTGCCAGTCATGCTCACCTACATTTCTGTCTTTACACAAACTACTTCTACTTGGAATGCTCTTTCCCCTTGCTAACTTATACTGATCTTTCAAGAATAAACTCAGCTACTTCATATTCTTAGGAGGCTTTGCTGACATACCTACTTTACCTGTCTGAAATGTTCTTCTACAGTCCCATTGCTTTCTCAGGCACATTCATCACACTCCTCAGTCACTGGGGTGAAAGCTCTATCCCTTCTATTGGACTGGGTGCCCCTTGAGGGAAAGGCATGTTTTTTGTGTTTCTTTTGTTTTTGATACAGGGTCTCACCATGTTACCCAGACTGGTCTCCAACTACTAGTCTCAAGTGATCCTTCTGCCTCAGTCTCCTGAGTAGCTGGGACTACATGCATTTGCATCACTACTTCCAGCAAAAAAAGCTTATTTTTAATCTCTAGATTCCCAGTTACTCTGCACAATACCTGTAAACAGTAGGCATCCAATAAATGCTTGTAACATTACTCATTGTGTTACTATTGTGGTTATTTGTGTCCATTTATCTACTCCTTGAAGTGACTTCAAGTCTGCGATGATATCTTCATGTTTTTTTTCTTTCTACTCCCAAAGCAGTATACACCATACCTAACTGAAAACAAGCGCTCCACATTCTTTGCTTTAAGTAATTCTTAAACCCTATTCTAACATCCAAAATCTATAGCCTTGCTCCAGTTGATTTAGATGGAGCTGTCACAAAAAAAGGCCCAGAAGGAGAAAAAGCACACAAGGAGTCATCTTTTCCTGAAAAACTAGAGGGATATGGACTTAGGCGATGTGCACTCGCGCGCTGGGGCAGGGGAGGTCGAGGCGGAGTTTCTATGTTGCTGAGCTATACAGAGTAATGGAGAAGATGTCCAGAATAAAAGAATGGAGGACTTTCTCATTTCTCTCCAAATCTCCCTAGATACCATATGTTCCTCCTTGTCCCGTGTCTAGTCCCTTGTAAGCTCACAAATGATATTCTGGCATTTTTCCTTTCCCCACTCCAAACACTCTCCTGCCGGGGCAAACACCACAGCACACATGCGCACGACCCCGTGCACGGGCCTGACGACTCTCGCGCTTAGTAACCCCTCCTAAGGCATGCGCCTTCTCCTCTCCTCCCGTTTCCTCCGTACATACGATCCTCACCTGCGGGACTTGTGCTGTCTCCGTCCCCGATCCACTCGGGCTCCGGTGGTTGCTGCTTGGGTCCCTTCGGCATTGCGGTGGCAGTTACTGCTACCCTGGCGGCGCCCTGTGCTATTTCCGCTTCCGGTGGCGTGGATTTCCCCCGAACGGGGTGGGCTCTCCAGGCCGGCTCGACCGTCTCCGCCCCTGCCCCCGGCGGCCCACTTGCGCGCCGCCCGTCACTTAGTGGGCGTGGTCTGCAGTTTCGGGGCGGGGCTGTGGTCCACCAGCTGGCTTTGCGTCGGCAACGCGTTTGTGACTGCCGGGGAAGCCTGACCCAGTGTCCCCGTGACACTGACAGACTCAAAGAATTTACATAAGGATTTCTAGGTAGTATTAAGTAGTTGAGGCATACTTTTTATTAAAAAGTGAATGCTATATTCTAACATTTCCGTGTGACTGATCAGGGGCAAAAAAGACAGTAGAGTTCATCAACTAAGAAATAGGCTTGTCGGTCCAGTGTTGTTGACATGTGTACCAAAATCCCGAAAAGTACGGGTGTAAACGAGGAACTCCAGCACATAAATCATAGTGCAGCAAGCCTGAGCTCACTATTTTTGTTTCCCTAGATGATTACTTTGCTGAATATGATTCAGCTACGATAAACTGCACAAACAGTAAAATGACATCCAATGCAAAGTGTACACTGATAAGTTTTGGCATCCATACACCCTTTAAACCATCGCCACAATTAATTTGCGGGTTGATTTCAAACTACTGTTAAATAGATGAAGGGCCCAGTGCACAGTGTCACACACCTCTAATCCCAGTGCCTCTGGAGATTGAGGCAGGAGTAACAAAATCCGAGGCTTGCCTGGGCAACTGAGAAAGATTCTAAAAAAGAGGAATGGGGATTTAGATCAGTAGTAAAGTGCCCTTGGCTTCAATCCCCAATACTGCAACAAAACAAAACAGTAGGTATGGGAGCTTGAGCAAACTGATTGCATAGCCTTGTCAGCTCCTGAAGATCAGGGGCCAGTTTTTCTTTTTCTTTTGGCACTGGGGATTGAACCCAGGGGTGCTTTACCACTGAGCTACATCCTCAATGCTTTTAAAAAAATTGGAGTCAGGGTCTGTTTCTGAGGGTATCTCTATGTTGTTGAGGCTGGCTTTGAACTTGTCATCTTCCTGCCTCATCCTTCCAAGACTCTGGGATTTTAGGCATGCATCACTATTCCAGGCAGGGGCCAGTCTTTTGACTTCATCCTCCTCACTTTCCCAGCAACATTTGCTAGTAGTTGGTAACTCCTTTCCATCTCACTGGCTTCTCCCTTTTATTTTTTAGACAGGGTCTCACTAAATTTCTGAGGCTGGCCTCAAGCTTGCAATCTTTCTGCCTCTGCTCCTAAATTGCAGGGATTATAGGCTTCTGCCCATGGATGAGGAAGCTAGAGCTTTCTGAGGACTGTGAATGAGTTTGTAGACCATAGAACTGAAAACTGAGGGTTTTTTTTTTTTTTTTTGTACCAAGGATTGAACCCAAGGGTGCTTAACCACTGAGTCACATCCCACCCTTTTTGAGATAGTCTCAGTAGGTTGCTTACAGCCTCGTTTAGTTGCTGAGACCATCTTCAAAAACGTGCAATCCTCCTGCTTCAGGCTTTGTGGTGGCTGGGATTACACATATGCATCACCATGTCCAGCAGCTCTGTGTTCTGAATACCTAAGGGCCTTGTGGTGGCATGATTGTCACATATGCATTGGACTATCTCTTGTGAGAGAAATTAACTGTTTACTTAAGACTAACTTAAGGCATTACAACTATAATACTTAAGCCTGGTTATCTGAGACATGGTAGGTGCTTTAGAATACATGCATGATTGTGGCTTCAACCATCACCTATATGCAGATGACACATATCAATGTTTCTAGTAATCTATCAAAACCTGTATATCCATCCAGACAACTTAACCAAGCCAAAATTAGTGGCTGCCTGTTTTCTCCCAGTAGTTTTTTTTTTTTTTTTAACAGAGATATGTAAGCCAGAATAACCTGGAGAAAATCTAAAAGTAGGTTCATTTTGACCTGTTATTCACAAATGTCTCCTTTTCTCCAACTTGACTACCCAAATCTACGCCACCATCACAGCTCATCTGTACTAACTGAAGCAACCTTCTAGCCAGGACATTTCCATATAAACGGAGTTTTTTTTTTTTTTTTCTTTTGAAAACTGGGGACTGAACTCAGGGGCACTCAGCCACTGAGCCACACCCCCAGCCATATTTTGTATTTTATTTAGAGGCAGGGTCTGAGTTGCTTAGTGCTTCACCATTGCTGAGGCTGGCTTTGATTCTCAGTCTCCCAAGCTGTTGGAATTATAGGTGCGTGCCCTGCACCCAGCTACAAATGAATCTGTTTTGGAAAAACCCAATGGATCCATGATCCTCACCAGTATGCAAAACTTTAAAATTCCTTTAAGATCTAAATCCTTATGTTCTGCAACCCTGAGTGGTCAATTTCTCATTGTTCTACCTTCTTTACCACATCCTTCATCTCTATCAAACACCTTTACTGGGACTACCCTCCCATTCCACCTCTTTGTTTCTTTCAGAACTTATCTTGGGTATCATTTCCCTTTCTGATATTCTTTATCATATTATACTCTGCCCTTTCACTGTCTAATTTCACAAGGAATTTGTGTGTCCCCCCTTCACCACTAGGGATCAAACCCAGAGACACTTCTAACACTTGAACTATACCCTCAGCTTTTTCTTTTAAACATTTTTAGTTGTAGATGGGACACAGTACCTTTATTTGAATGTAGTACTGAGGATTGAACTCAGCATCTCACATGTGCTAGGCAAATATAATACCGAACTACAATCTCAGCCCCCTTTCTACTTTCTGAGATAGGGTCTCACTCAACTGCCCAGCTGGCCTTGAACTTGTGATCTTCCTGCCTCAAGTCTCCTGAGTAGCAAGGGAATACAAGCATGTGGTACTTGGCTATTTGTGATTTTTGATGAACACGTTTCCTTGGAAGATTTAAAATGCACTGGTTTTAGCTGTTATCTTTAGTGTCTGGTATATGGCCTTGCCCACAGGAACTCAGTCATAGAGCATTTGACTGCTTCATCATTTCTACTTCATATACACAAACTGACAAACATAAAATAAAAATTACTCCTCAGCCACCTGTTTTTCCTTTCTTCTGTGCCCTTGACCACAATGTAGCCTGGTTTGGTTGATGATTATTGGCTAAAGGGACGCCCAAAATTCTCTTGGGCTGGAAGAGACTTGCATTCTCCATCACCACCATCTGAATGACTAGAACACAGGGATTAAGGAAATGCTGGTTTCCACTGCGTTTATTACTAATATAAAAAAATGTTAAAAAGAAAAAAAATCATTCTCAGTTCTCCAACGCTCTCATCCCTCCCTCTTGCCCACACAACTCCTGACCCATTTTCTCAGGGCCAGCTCAAAACTGAACCTGTTCACTGCCGTTTTCACAGAAAACAACCAGTGCCAGGGATGTGAGGGAAGAGTATCAGAAGAGAGCAACAGTACTGTCCAGGTTCCACCCGTAGATTGGCCAGGTGGAGATTCACAGAATTCAAATGAAAGGGCTGGTGGCTTCACAATGACATAGTCTAACTAAGACAGGCTGAAAAGGAGCTGGGTAGGGAGGCCCATCTGAGGCTTTACAAGACATCATTGGCCAGTGTCAGACCAAGAATAATCAACACCAGGAGAAGTACAGGGAGGACCAGGGAGGCAGTCTTGTGGAGTTTCACGATTCTCCCAAGTTGGGATGTGGGGAAAGTCTAGAGGGCACCAAGAGCCTCACTCATTTTGGCAGAAAAACTTATTCTAGTGTTGGGAAATCACAAAAATGCCACAGACAGTGAGAGAGGCTACGAGGGGATGCACAGTTTCACAAAGCACAGTGATCACAGACCATAGCGGTGGGGATCATGCTACTGACAGAGAAACTAGGAAATCCAAAAGCAGGGGCAGTTGCCTTTCAGGAAGCAACTCTGTACCAGTCACCCAAACTTGACCCCAGGTCAGAAAACCTGGTGAGTTTCCCAAGTAGCTGAAAACACTGGGATGTCACATAAAAAGGACTTAAAATAAGCAGCTAAAGTGGGTAGGAAACCGCTCCAGGGCTCTCAGGAATTGAGGGCAGTACTGGGGACAGGTGGACAGATGCACAAGAAACAGCACCAAAGAGGTTTCCTGTTCAGCAGTCATTTGGCGAAAGGGAAGAAGATCCAGGAGGCAGTTGAAGGGAGCAAGGGGTCCCAAAGGCATGTCTCTGGAGGCTGGATCAGAATACAGAGCGCGCTGCGCACCAGTGATGAAACACAACTCTGGACCCCAAACCAGGGAGGTGGTGGATGGGGGCGGACGTGTCATTGACCGAGGGTGTTGGGTGGAAGAGCCTCACAGTAGCCATCACAGGGCCACAGGGAAATACATGGCCGCTGGGTCACAGAGGGCTCCTTCCAGCCTGGATGGGAAGGCACAGTCTCACAGAGGAGGTCCATTGACGCCTGGGTGGTAGAAGGCACAGAGGTCTTCATATCTACAGTGGCCCTTTTTCGAAAAGTGTCGACAGACGGGGCGGTCAGATTTGTCTGTGAACAAGTGAAAAATAGGTAAATTTAAATCTGAGTAAGAAGAAAACAAATGCCATGAAAAGCAGAGATAAAGCCAGATTTGCTACCTTCTACTACTTACAGGTACTTTGGCTTTTTTTTAGCAGGAGCCTTGGGTGTGCTACGTGCAGACTCTACCACTGAACTAAACTCCTAGCCCTCTAGATTTTGAAATGGTAGTCTTTCTCCTGGGAGAAAGAATATTTAGGACTAGTTCTTCTAGGTATAGATATATGCCTGTAATCTCAGCGACTCGAGACGGAGGCAGGAGGCCAAGTTTGAGGCTAGCCTGTGTAACTAAGAGACCCTGTCTCTAAAAAATAAAAAGGCTGGGGGTATAATTCAGTGGTAGAACACTCCAGGTTCAATCCCCAGTACTTAGAGGGGAAAAAAAAAGTTGGTCCAGGGGGTGAGGGTGTAGTTAAGTGGTATTGTGTTTACCTGCCATGCCCGAGGCCCTAGATTCAATACCCAGAATCACAAAAGGGGGAAAAAATAAAATAAGTAAATAAATAAATACAGCCCCCAAAAGAGGAGTCGTGGGAATCCTGGGAATTAGGCCACTGGGATTTAATGGGTATGAAATATGCACAGGCATAACAAAATGGACCTCACCTTCCATAACCTGGGGGCCATCCTTAGGCGGGCAGGTATTCTTGATAAGAGACCAGCTTTTGAGCCTTCGAGGGTTTCTCTGCTCTTTGTGAAAGCTTTCCCTGGAGGGACCCCCATGGCCTGGCCCCAGAAAAGGGGGTTCAGCACTGACCCCCCACCAACCACGACCATATGGGCCAGACCTGGGGCCGAGGCCTCCCCGGATTGGGCCTCTGCCCCGGGGAGGAGGTGGGAGACTCAGCAGTGGTGGAATCATCAGTCCCCTTGATCCTGGAGGACCTCTGTGAAGAGCTGGACAAAGAAAGACACAGAAAGGTGACCAATGGACAGCTTAATCCTGACACAGAAGCCTGATCCCTCCCCTGAAGTACAGCATATAGACAAAGATAAACCAGTTTTAAGTGCACAGCTCAATTATCACAAAACAAACACACCTGTGTTTCCACCACCTAGGTGAAGAGATAGAGCCTTATTAGCACTTCAAAAGACCCACCCATGTATCCCTTCCCCCTCCCCAAATGTAACCACCATTCTGACTTGTAACATCACAGATTAGTTTTTGCCTGTTTTTGAACTTTGCATACATTAAATCATACAGTCTGTATTCTTTTGTGTCTGGCTCCTTTCGCGGAACATGTTTGTGAGATTCATCCAGGTTGCCTGTAGCAGTAGTTCATTCATTTTCATTGCAGTGTAGTATCCCATTGCATGCATACAAACAACTGATTTATCCATGCTACTGATGATGGACATGTGGGTGGTTTCCAGTTTGGGGCTATAACAAGAAATGTTGCTATGAACATTTTTTATATATGTCTTTGTTACACATAGGTATGTATTTCTGTTGAGTATATAGGTAGGTAGCAGAGGAATTGCTGGGTCAAAGAGCGTATGCACATTCAAGTGTAACAGATAGTCAAGTTTAGTAGATATTGTCAAACTTTGTTTCAAAGTAGTGGTACCAATTTACACTCCAAGGAGTAGTTCCATAGCCTCAAAAACACTTGTTATTTTGTCTTTCTGTTGTGAGAATTGGCAGACTGTGGTAAAAACTACATAATATAAAAGTTTACCATCTTAACTATTTTTAAATGCACAGTTTAGTAGTGTTAAGTATATTCATATGTTGTGAAACAATTCCCCAGAACTTTATTTTGCAAAGCTTAAACTTTATACAACTCCCTGCCCCTCCCCTGGGCTACTACTAACCACCATCCCACCAATTCTTTTTCTATTCCTCCTCCTTTTTTGTTTTTTGAGATGGGTATCTCGCCATGCTGCTTAGGCTGGTCTCAAACACCTTCCTCCTGCCTCAGCCTCCTGCCTCAGCCTCCTGAGTAGCTGGGATCACAGGCGCATACCACAGTACTCAGTTCTGTTTCTTTGAATGTGATTTTAGATACTCATGGAAGTAAGATCAGCTTATTTCTTAGCATAATGTTCTCAAGGTTTATCCAAGCTGTAGTGTATGACAGCATTTTGTTTACACCTTTTTTTTTTTAATCCACTTTCTGACAATAGGAGTGTTAGATCATATAGTAGCTTTATTTTTAACTTTGTGAGGAATTTCCATACTGTTTATGAAAGATGGTTGTACCATCTTACAATCCCCTCAATGCAGAAGTTCTAATTTCAAAGTAGTATGTTTTAATCTTGCATATATTTGATAATTAAGGATATTAAGTACATGTTCACACATTCTTGTATTTAGATCTCCATTTTTATAAGGTGCCTTTTTTTGGTCAATTTTTCTAATGGACTATCTCAGAAAGAGTTCCTATATATATCTTATATGTAAACTTTTTATTGATTATATTTGTTGCAAATATCTTCTACTCTAAGGCTTTCTGTTAATTTCTTAATGATGCCATGATTAACACATGCTTATCTGATGTTAAATTTATCAATCTTTTTTTATGATTAGTACACATGTTTAAAAACTCTTAGCTTTTCTCAAATTTACTTTCTAAAAGAATGATTTTCACTTTTCACACTTCAGTTCATTTGGACTGACATTTACATCTGATCACTGAAATCTGAAGAAGTCAGATTTCATTTTTTCCACATGAATGTCCAATCAGTTCAGCTTCATTTATTGAAAATACTACTTCTTCAGTTCTACCTTTACATAAACGAAGTGTTCCTAGATCTGTGGGCCTATTATTGGATGCTAAACTGTTCTATTGACTTATATATCCTTTATTGTGCCCAAATCACATTTTTATAACTACTGGAGCTTTACTGTAAGTCTTGGTTTTCATAGTAAGCCCTCCTACTTTAAGAATGTCCTGGTGGTCTCTCACCCATATCCTCTGCATTTTCATATAATAATGTCAAATATTTATTTCTACAAAAACATGACAGGGATTCTGAGAGGAAATGCAGTGAATCTAGAGATTCCTTTAGGAAGAAATGACAGCTTTTACAACATTGAGTTTTCAAAGACGTGAATACACAATTTTCTCCATTCATCAGATACAGAATCCTCAATTTTTTTACTTTAAGTCTTTGATGAGTTTTACTCCCTCCCCTGCTCCCTTCCTCTGGGCCTCAAACAAGAATCAGGGCCCTTCCTCCTCACCTGACTTGGGGTCACCAGGCTTTCCATTGGCCATGGGAGGAGGGCCCAGAAGGCTGGGTGGTCCTAAGAGTAGACACGAAAATATGGTCATCAAAACAGATTAAAGAACTGATGTTCCTTTATGTGTTTTTGTTCTATTACTCATTTCTCAATTCATTCTGTAAGATCAATTATGTTCTCAACGGTGTTGCAAATTCTCACCTCGTCTATCTGCCCTTTGTAAAGCTGCTTCAGGTTTGGCAAAAAGTGGAGACTCAATCAAAGGGCACTGACAATTTATCTTTGCCTTATACTGCAACTATCCATAACATCCCAGGTGATTTCAGAGATAATCCAAAGGTTCAACCTTTAGTTGCTGGCCAATCAGACCTTTCCTCAGGGGAGCGGTTTACAGAAGGCTGTACTTCCACCTTCCCTGTGAAATGTGGTCATAAATTGTCAACCCTGTCATCGCAATGTGATATCTTTACTGCCCCTCTCCCCTGCCATTCGGCGGCTGCGCAAACGGGCTCTTTACCCTCTCCTCCTCCGCCTGGTCCAGAAAGGTTTGGGCCTGGGATTGAGCTTGAGGGTTCAAGTAGGAGAACTCCTCATTCAAGGTTCTACCATCAACAGGCCTCCTCTGCCCCACCCCCGCGCGTGCGCCCTTCCTCCTTCCGTTAGAGCCCCCTCCCCCGCACTTTAGCAGTCCTAGCCCCTGGTCTGGAATGGCTGACAAGCATGTGCACGCCTTTCCCAGGCCCCTCACCTATGAGACTCTCATCCTCCTCATCTCCAGTCTCTTCCCGCTCGGGCAGTGGTGGCTGCTGTGGCGGCGGTTGCTGTTGCTGATTCTGCTTCTTTCGTTTCGGCATCGTGGCTGCGGCAATGGCTGCAGCGGGATTTGGAGGGCAGTGAGGAAGGGGCACGCTGAGATTCTGTTTCCGCTTCCGGGGGGCGGTGGGCACTGAGGCCAAGGTTCCCGCCACTCCACTTCCGGAAGGCAGCTGAGAACTTTTTGCTGTGGCTGCATTCTCATGGAAACCGCCTCCTTATATCTCTGCCAGGCAGGGCGAAAACACTAACTCTTCTCTTTGCCGCGTTTCTACAAGTGCTTAAAAAAACTCTCTCCACGGTGAAAAGTAGCTTTCACAGTGCCACAGAGTCGGCAAGCTTTCGGGCCAAAAAAGCCTGAGAGGAAAGGCCTGTCGCGTCTTAAAATCGCCACATCCGGTCCGCGGTTACTATGGTAACGGCTGCAGGCACAACTTCGTGCTCTCGGACCCGTCTCCAAAAGTCCTGTCCCAACTGGATTTCTCTTCTGGCCTGCGCTTGCACTTAGGATCTATAAGCCTGCTTCTTCTCGTCGTTCCCACAGGGAATTTGGGTCCCAGCAGGTCGGCACCCAGAACCTCTACTCGTCCCTCAAGACGTCTGACCGTGCCCCCAGTGTAACACAGCAACCTGGTTTTATTCCTTGGACGCGCAGTCTCGGCTTTCCACTAAGGTCAAGTTCCCGGGTTGGTAGTGTAGCTTCAACGTGTCCACGCCTCCCTTTCCCCAGGGTAGTAGGACCCGCCCTCCTCCTCTCCGCCGCCCCCTCCAGGTGAGTGGTAGCTTCTTCCCGGAGCGCAAGGTAGTGATGACACGCGTCCCCCCTTCACCGGGCGCTCGTTGGTAGAATCCGTGACGGAGTTAGTTCGATCCTCCCACGCGCGCCTCCTTCCTCGCCGCCGCTGCGCCTTCTCGGTGCCACTGGTTCTCATGTGTCCGTAGCCCACCCCGCATCACCCTCTCGCCTCACTTCTAGAGAGAAGTGACTGTTTCCCCCGTGCGCTTTCCATCCCGACCGCCGCGGCAAGTCGGTGGTGCCCTCCCGCTGACGTCACCTGATAGCTCCGCCTCCTCAAGGGTCCCGGGCCCTTGCGGCGGGGACTACCGGGGGGAGTCAGTTGAGGCGGCTGTAGCTCGGCGAAGGGCGGGCCAGGTGACTGGTCCGGGCCATGCCGAGGAAGAAGCCCTTCAGCGTGAAGCAGAAGAAGAAGCAGTTGCAGGACAAACGGGAGCGGAAGCGAGGTCAGTGCGGGAGCGGAGGAGGGGGCGGGACTCGGGCTCCCGCACATCTGGAAGGAGGGGTGTGCCTGCCGCACCTCTGGGGGGCGTGGGAGGGGGAGTGGGCTCGCGCGGATCTGCGTGGGCAACCGCGGAGGGGATTCCCTCATTCCATCGCGCCCCCCCTTGTCTGGAAGGGATGGAAAAGGATGAAGAGTTGGGGGAGGGGAGTCCCTCCAGCTCAAACGGGGCGCCATCCCAGCAATTCCCTGGAAGAGTAACTACCCCCACGCACACCCGGAGGGTCCTGGAGAGGGAGGCCCCGAGGACCGAGCTTCAAAAGTAGTTGGATGGGCTGAAGGAGATCCAGGAGGTCCAGGTAGGGGGGTCTTTTGGCCCCTGAGAGCTAGCCTGCACTGGCGTCACTCTTCCCTCTCTGCAGGGCTTCAAGATGGGCTGCGCTCCAGTTCCAACAGCCGCAGCGGGAGCCGGGAACGGCGGGAGGAGCAGACCGATACCTCTGATGGGGAATCTGTGACCCATCAAATCCGCAGGCTCAATCAGCAGCCTTCCCAGGGCCTGGGTCCACGAGTTTATGATCCAAATCGGTGAGGGAGGGGTGAGGGAGGGAGTGGGGCTCTGGCCCGGGCTTGCCCGCCTTCTTGAAAGTGGGAGTGTTGAGGGAAAGCTAGCTGCTGTTGGTGGACATTTGAAAGTGTAGAGGGTGAGGCCGGAATGCCACTGTTCTCCCGGAATGCCACTGTTCTCCCGGAGCAGGCCATAATTCTCCCTTCCAGAGCAACCCGAGAGTTTGGCTTTTAGAAGGGGTTGGCCCTGTCTTCTATGAAAGGGGGACTTGACTGAAAGGAAATTTGAACAATTGAAGAGAAGAAACTTTGTTTTCTGTGGGGGATGGGGTAGGGGTAGGGGTTGTGGTCTTGCTGGATGTATGATACTTCTTCCCTTAGATACCGGCTTCATTTTGAGCGGGACAGTCGGGAGGAGGTGGAGAGGAGAAAGAGAGCAGCCCGGGAGCAAGTGCTACAGCCCCTCAGTGCTGAGGTGTTGGAACTGGACATACGGGAGGTCTATCAGCCTGGCTCAGGTGAGTGAGGACAAGACAAGACTGGTGTTTCCCACACAAGGGGCTTGGAGAGTTTGGAAGGGTAAGGGTTGACTGTGAGGAAGGAGGGGTCCGGGATGCACACTTTAATACTGAAAACATCCTTATACTTGCACTTCTTACTGTTTTCTCAGTCCTGGACTTTCCACGGCGTCCTCCTTGGAGCTATGAGATGTCCAAGGAGCAGCTAATGAGCCAGGAGGAACGAAGCTTTCAGGAGTATCTTGGGAAGATACACGGGGCTTATACTTCAGAGAAACTCAGCTACTTTGAGCACAATCTAGAGGTGACAATAGAATGGGGACAGGAATGGGGTAGTGTGATCCATGGATAAATTTTTCTGGAATCAGGCTGGAAAGGAATTCTGGGTTCAGATTCTCTTCTGATCTTGTCTTTTCAGACGTGGAGGCAGCTATGGCGAGTGTTAGAGATGTCTGATATTGTCTTGCTCATCACTGATATTCGTCATCCAGTGAGTACTTGGGATGAGGGTGGGCAAGGGGGAAGAGGGTCAGGTTCTTATGGGTATAAGTCAGAGGTAGAATTTGAAAAACAGAGAGCTGTCCTTCCTTTCTTTTTACCTATCTACTGTGTGCTGATATCTGCAGTCAGGAACTAATTTTTCTGTTTGTGTCTTGCCATAGTCTGTTGCTTCTATCCTGACTAGCTGACTCCTTTTTATGTCCTTTAATGAGAAGCTGCTTGTCTTGTCTTACAGCATCACCAGAGCTAGACCAATAGAAAATCCAACTGTGTGGGGCTGGGTTGTGGCTCAATAGCAGAGTGCTTGCCTAGCACATGTGAGGCACTGGGTTTGGTCCTTAGCACTGCATAAAAATAAATAAAATAAAAGTGTTATGGGAAAAAAAATTCCAGTGTGAAGCTCCAGGGATTCTAATGAAGGCAACTGGGGGCTTCCTCCTACCCAGCCCAAAGATGCGTTTTCTTCCTTATTTCATTTCTCTAGCCTGTCTACCTCGGTTGCTGCAGAAACTACCTGGAATGTTAGGGTAGTAGTTAAGGCTGTAGGCTGTGCTGCTGGACTGCCCTGTGATTCCTGATTCTGCCACTTCATTGTGGTCCTCCAGTGGAGAAAGGGAGGTCTGTGGGGACATTTAGGTTGGAAGTCCTTAACGAATGTGTACACACATATTCACAAATACATGTATGCATGTGTATATTCATACACAGAGGCACATTTACACATACTCATGTTTGTAGTCATACATACTCAACACATAAACTTGCATCTATAAGCATATACTTGGATGCATGCTCATATGCATGTGTACACACTTGGACAGTTATGTGCACACAATACATAATAATTTCTACCCTCATTTCTACTCCTGATTCTAGTCTTTACTTCAGTATGTGAGGTGTTGCTATTTCCTTATCTTATTTTTGGTTCACTTCAAATGCTAATCATGACCTGTCAGAAGCCCCCTGAGACTTGCACAGGTATCACTAACCCCTGCTTTGTCCTTCTTGTTCAGTTTGGCTGATTTACTGTTTTCACCCCAGAATTTGCTACTGCCAGGGTTTTGTCTCTGAATGTGCTTCGTGAGTGGGGAGCTGGAGACAGAGAACTCTGGGATGACCTTCATTCTTCTATCCCAGGTTGTGAATTTTCCACCAGCGCTTTATGAGTATGTGACTGGAGAACTTGGTCTGGCCCTCGTGCTGGTCTTGAATAAGGTGGATCTGGCTCCACCAGCTCTTGTGGTTGCCTGGAAGCATTATTTCCACCAACACTATCCTCAACTCCACATCGTCCTTTTTACCTCTTTCCCTCGGGACCCCCGCACTCCACAGGACTCTGGTGGTGAGTGGGCTTTGAGGAGGGCAGCATGGGAGAGATGGTTGACAGGGGGCAAAGGGAAAAACAGGGAGGCTTGTTGGCAAGGTGGTACCTAACTGGGGGCCTGAGGGTGGTGGGAGAGATGAGGTATAAAAGCCTAAGCATAACTGCTCTGTACATTCTGATCCTAGTCTTGAAGAAGAGTCGGAGGCGGGGGAGAGGATGGACTCGGGCCCTGGGGCCAGAACAGTTGCTGAGAGCCTGTGAAGCCATCACTGTGGGTAAAGGTGTGTGATCCTTGGAGGTCATGAGGGAGATCTAAGATCCAGAATCATTTTGTTACCCTCTATTATGGATGGGTACAAGGGGGATAGAATAAAGAACAGACTGGCTTGGTGGGACAAGAGAGGCAGGAGATAGGCAGAATCCTTAGTGGATTGCTGCTTTCAGTTTTTCTGGTACTTTTCAGAAACTCTGAAAAATGCATATGGCTCAAGGGTGGGATAAAGTGAAGTCTGGGGAGATTGTGGTCTGCAGTTGTGCAGGTTGTCACGGTGAGACTCCAGAATATTCTAGTGACACCAGCTATGCAGCTATGCCATCATACACAGAGGCCCCAGGAAACCTTCTTTATCTTTTTTCTGAACAGTGGACTTGAGCAGCTGGCGGGAGAAGATTGCTCGAGATGTGGCTGGGGCCACCTGGGGCAATGGCTCTGGGGAGGAGGAGGAAGAAGAGGATGGGCCTGTAGTCCTGGTGGAACAGCAAACTGACTCAGCAATGGAGCCAGCTGGCCCAACCCGGGAACACTACAAGGATGGGGTGGTGACCATCGGCTGTGTGGGTAAGGAAGCAGCGATCTGCTCACAAAGGCCCCAGAAGTGCTGAGTTTTAGTATTTGGAAAAGAGGGATGATCTGTCCTTATTAGGCCCCAGGATCTTTGAGGGGTGACTTCTGCCAGTGGTCTTAGGCAAAGCAGAGGAGGCCATCTGCTAGTGTGGATGTAAACTTCATCTCTTCTCAGCTGTATGATTTTGAGCAAGTTCTTTGAGTCTCAGTTACTTTGATTTTAAAAATGAGGATGTTTATACCCAGTTCAAAGAATGAATGTGAGGAATATAAAGGAGTAGTGTTGAAAGATTTCAGTGATGTCTGGCAATAGTAACATTAGCAATTGCAGTGATTATTATTAAACGTTAGCATTTGTGTGGCTTTTACTGTGTGCCAGGCATTGTTTGATTGATTTATACAAAGTCATTGTTCAGCTGTTATTAGCCTCTAATACAGGGATCATAAAATCATAGCAGGTCGCAGTGTTAGTTTTCTCCTTCATTTTAACTCTTTAAGTCTGTGATGAGGGGAGTCTCTTCTTGATTAGAGCTTTGTCTCAGATCCTAGTGGGGGAAAACGGATATATGATTAGGTTCCAGGGCCACTTTCATCTTGGGTTCATCTTGGGTGAGAAGAGACCTTGGTAAAGTTGTATTTGAGATACCATTGGAACCATAAAGGACCTAGCCCATAAATCTAGGAACATGGGTGGCTAGTAGATAGATAGAAAGAACCCCTGACTTATCTCTCAGTGTCCATTGTGTTTGTGAAAAACATGCTTGACTGTTGAGTGATTACTCCTCTTTCCCTGCACTGACTTCTTTCCCTTTCAGGGGCCCTTTTTCCTCTCAGTAGCCTCTGCACTAACTTGTTTTTAGGGTGGTATGATAGTGAGAGTTTTTGCTGGGTGTGGGTATATCTATTGGTTTTCATTCATTCATCCATTCAACAAATATTTACTGAGCACCTACCAAATGCCAGGTACTGTTCTAGGGATGGGAATACTGATGTGAAGATAAAAGAAAGCATCTAAAACTCATGGAGCTTGTTTTTTTGTGAGTAAATGTATTAGAGATCTGAAATCATATTATTTCCTCTCTCAGATAGAGAGTTCTGGGAGAGGAAAGGTCCTCTGGAAGTTCTCAGGTGAGAGGACTTAGGTGAAAAAGAGTTGGGTAAGAAAAGGAAGTAAGCCATTTAGAGTTCTGGGGAAAGGGGCTTGGGAGCCAGAAGTGTTAGTTAGTGAGAGGGTCTTGAGGTAAGAATGGGTTTGGTGATACTGGGACCAGCAAGACTGTCAGGGAGATTGCAGTATGTGAGCCAGGGAAGATAAGGAGGAAGGCAGGATTGCCAGGCACCACATCATGTAGGGTGTTATGGCTATGAAGTGCATTTTGAATTTTATTCTCAGTCTTAATGAGAAGCTAGTGGTGGGTTTTGAGCAGGGAATGACAGGATTTGATATCCTTTTTTAGAAGTTCTACCTTTGAGTAGATGAATGGTACAAGGTAGATAAGAAAGGAAGCAAAGAAAGCAATCAGTGGCTACTCCATTAGTCTTAGGAGAAAAATAAGAATTGCTTAGAGAGAGAAGGGAGGAAAGAGGAAGAAAGGGGTTGTGATGAGACAGAGACAGAAACAGGATATATTTTAAAGGCAGAGAAAATGAGACTGCTGATGCCTTGCATTTGGTACATAAGAGAAAGCAAGGAATAAAGAAGGACTTCCATGTTTTTGTCCTAAGCAGCTGGAAATACTGAGCTGGAAAGACTGGAGAGAACAGGTTTGGAGGACTGATGAGGAGGGAGAGAGGAATCATAAAGAATCAGAAATTAAATTTGAGATTGTTTTGAAATATCCCATGCAGAGATGTTGACTAGGCCATGGGTATAGGAATTTGGATCTTAAAGGAAAGAAGAGGACTTGAAATTTGAATTTGAGTGGTCTTTAAATTTAGGGAGCCACTGGTGTATATAGGTGGTATTTAAAGCCATGGGATTAGATGAAATACAGTGGAGAAGTTATGTGAAAGAAGAGGAGGCTAATGACTGAGTTGTAGGGCAAGCTTGCACTTAGAGGTTGGAAAAAGGAGGCGGAACCAGCAAAGGAGAGTGAGAGGAAAGAAAACCAAGGAAATGTCTGGAAGTGAAATAAAGAGTGCTTGAAACAGAAAGGAGGGTTCTGCTGTGTCAAATATGGCTAATAGGAGGAGTGAGAGGAGAATGCAGTCTTGTTCAGTAGGTGTGGTGATGTGTTCAGTGGTTTGGAGGAGAAGGAAGAATATGTGAGATGCCCCAATTGCAACAACACGGGGAAACTCATGTAATATGTGGTTGGCACCAGACACAGCAGTATCCATGCTGCACAATTCCATCTGCATAAGTTCAAAGACTACAAAATTAAATCACATTGTCCAGAAATGCACAGGTCATAAATTAACAAGAAATATAAGAAGTGGAATCCCTTAAAAGTCAGGATAAGAGAGAGGGGGTTATAATGGAGAGGGACACATGGGGCCTTTGAGCAAATATGTCACACTCTGGGCTCATGGCTGGGTGCTATGGAGCTCCTTGGGCTGCACATCCATGTTCTGTGTGGGGTTTTTTGTATGTTAAAGTTTATACTCACAAAGAAGTTATATAAAGTGGTAATAAGAAATAGTAAGTCTTTTAAGGAGTTAAGGTTGAAAGACAGGGAAATGGGCTTGTCAAAGAATTGTTTTTTCTCTCTCTCCTTTCAAAAGAAGATACTTCAGAGGCTGGAGTTATGGCTCAGAGGTAGAGCGCTTGTCTAGAATGCATAAGGCACTGGGTTCGATCCTCAGCACCACATAAAAATAATGAAGTGGAACCAACCTAGATACCCTTCAATAGATGAGTGGATTAAAAATGTGGCATTTATACACAATGGAATATTACTCAGCACTAAAAAATAACAAGATCATGGCATTTGCAGGGAAATGGATGGCATTAGAACAGATTATGCTAAGTGAAGTTAGCCAATCCCTAGAAAAACAAATGCCGAATGTCTTCTCTGATATAAGGGGGGTGACTCAAAATGGGATAAGGAGGAAGAGCATGAGAAGAAGACTACCACTAAATAGGGAAGAGAGGTGGGAGGGAAAAAGAGGGAGAAGGGGAGTTGTACGGAAGATGGAAGGAGACCCTCATCATTATACGGAATACATGTATGATGTTGTGATGAGAGAAGTCTCTTTCTGTTCTATCCTTTAAATAAAACTTGTTCTCTAAAAAAATAAAAAATAAATAAATAAAGATATTGTATCCACCTATAACCAAAAATAAATAAATATTGGGGAAAAAAAGAAGAAGATACTTCATTTTATTTATTTATTTATTTTTTTTAAGAGAGAGGATTTTTTAATATTTATTTTTTAGTTCTCGGCGGACACAACATCTTTGTTTGTATGTGGTGCTGAGGATCGAACCCGGGCCGCACGGATGCCAGACGAGCGCGCTACCACTTGAGCCACATCCCCAGCCCAATACTTCATTTTATTGAGAAGCTCAGTCTGTTTGTCAGTGTGACTTTTCCCACACTGACAGCAGGTGTTACATGGGCAGGTGTAACAACTAACTGCCCAGCAGCAGGTGTTACATGGGCAGGCAATTGCATTTTACAGAGTTGGGGTTTTGCCTGGAGTGTAAAATAGAGGGGAAGAGGTGGGACCTGGGAACTCAAGATGTATAGGTGCAGAATTGGATCATGGACTTTGAGGTAGATATGAAAGAAAGTGAAGTGATGAATCAGTGTTGTATAGTGTTACCCTGATAGAGTTAGGGGCAAAGAACTATTGGGATGGAGGAGCCAGAATAAGTTAGCTTGAAACATGGGATGAGGAGTACTTGGGGAATTGAGACTTTGGAGGTATAAAGTGACAGGGCCTAGTGTGACCTTGGGTGTGGGTAGCTGAGGTAGAGTGAAGGAAACAAACTTTGAGAGTGAGATTCAGGCATTGAGGAATCAGAGTTCTGGATAAGAGATCTGTGTAGAAAGTGGACTTGACCAGAAAGAAGGTGGTGGTGGTTGTGAAGAGAGGGGCAGTGAGCCCAAGGGCTGCCAGTCGTCTTCTTGGACAAGTCACGATAGGTATTATTAAATGCAAATCTCACCTGTGTTGAGTACTTTGTTGTAGGCCTAGACCAGTGCAGTTGTATCTGTTGTCAATGTTACCCAGATCCACTCTGAGGTAGGAGCTATCTGTCCTATAAAATGAAGAAAAAGGCTCAGAAAGTTGAGTAAATTGCCTTGAGGTCACAGAGCCATAAGTGGGGAGGCTGGGATTCACAGCTGGCAGCCCAGGGCCTGATTTATAGTTTGCAGTGTTATACCACTTCCTTAAATTCTGAGCCCTAGTTCCCCTTTCATCTGTAGTCACCGAGTCCTGCCTGCCACTGAGCAAGGGCCTAGTAGACATTCACTTTCCTTGCCTCCCTCAGGTTTTCCCAATGTGGGGAAGTCCTCACTGATCAATGGACTTGTGGGGCGGAAGGTTGTGAGTGTCTCCAGAACCCCAGGTCACACCCGATACTTTCAGACCTACTTTCTAACCCCCTCTGTGAAGCTCTGTGACTGCCCAGGCCTCATCTTCCCTTCCCTGCTGCCCAGGCAGTTGCAGGTATGAGGGCCAAGGGTGGGGCGGGGTATGGAAGGCAGGATGCTGAGGAAGATCCTGAGTGCTGTTCCTGCAGGTTCTGGCTGGCATCTACCCCATCGCCCAGATTCAGGAGCCCTACACTGCTGTGGGCTACCTGGCCTCCCGGATCCCTGTACAGGCCCTGCTTCACCTGCGCCACCCAGAGGCTGAGGATCCCTCAGCAGAGCACCCCTGGTGTGCCTGGGACATCTGTGAAGGTGAATTTCATGCCTGGGTACAGCTGTCCTCCCTTGCCTGCTGTCTCCTCCTCTCTCCCTTTACCTTGCTGTCCTCTCCTTAGATTTTGCCATAGTGAAGTGGCTGTCCACTCATTCTTAGGGTTTTGGACAGGACTACCAAGATCTCTGGCCTGGAATGTTTTGGGTGGTGGGTGACTGGTACCTGATACACAGGCTTCCCTTCTTATTGCTCTTTTATCCCTCCAGCCTGGGCAGAGAAACGTGGTTACAAGACAGCCAAGGCAGCTCGGAATGATGTGTACAGAGCTGCCAACAGCCTCCTGCGGCTGGCAGTGGATGGCCGCCTAAGCCTGTGTTTCCATCCACCAGGCTACAATGAACAGAAAGGTCAGAACCCAGATATTCTTCCCTAGCTCCTGTTTTGGGGTGGGCAAAAGTGGCCAGGGGGTCAGACCTGGTTCTGTACCAGTTGGCCAGCTTTGTACTCTTTAACATCTCTGAGGCAATTTTCTCTTTTGCAAATGAGGATAACAATCACCCTCAAGCAAGATGGTTGTGAAGATTGAAATTGATATGCCCGAGTGTCTGCTCAGGGATCTGTATGTGGGAGATTGAATGAATGAATGGGTTCCAGCAGCTGTAAGAATTATTGTTATTCCTGGTCTTTGTCTCTTCCCCATCTTTCTCTGGCTTTAGTTCCTTGTGCAAATTCTTCTACATTTTTTTTCTTGTTTTGGTTCCCCAGGCACCTGGGAGTCTCATCCAGAAACCATGGAGCTGGTGGTTTTGCAGGGCAGGGTGGGACCATCAGGTGACGAGGAGGAGGAGGAAGAGGAAGAGCTGAGCAGCTCCTGTGAGGAGGAGGGAGAGGAGGACCGGGATGCAGATGAGGAGGGAGAAGGGGATGAGGACACCCCAACCTCAGCTCCAGGGTCCTGTCTGGCTGCCCGAAACCCTTATGCCCTACTGGGTGAGGACGAGTGCTGAGTCCCTGCCTAGTATCAACTTCCCATTATCTTTGCTTTTGGACTGACCTGGAGGCATCTCCCCTTTGCCACCCCAATTGTGAATAAAGATTGTCTGCTTTGTAGCCCCTTCCCCAAGTGAACTGAGGTGAGAGCGGTAGTTATGGGCTGACAGCTGTGGGAGATTTATCTCCTCCCCTCTATTCTCATGCATTCCCTTTGCAAAGGAAAGTTCTCTTAGGAATTAGTTCAGTGGGTTCTTAGGCCCTTTGCCCACTTTCCCTCTTTGCACCTTAAGAATCCATTTTCCTCATGGAGAAAAGAGGTCTAAATTCAAACCTCCTTTGGAGTTTGTGCCATTCAACCTGATTTGAGCTGCAGCCCTGTGCGCCCCCTGCTGCCAGTCCTGGGTTATACCAGGAGCTTCTGGGAGAAGAAGCAGTAAGAGGTGTCATAAGCTGTCATCTCCGAGTGAGGTTTTTATAGGGATTTTTCAGAGTCCACAAATATTTATTGAGGATTTACCATGAATCTGGACATGTACTAAGCACTGATCATATAAAGATGCACAAGCAGTGCCTGGCCTAAATTTGAAGCCTGGGCACAATCAAGACCCCATTGGGCACCCAAGTTTTTGGATTAAGCATGTTATATAATCCTGGGGGCTCACACAGTATAATTCTAGGACTTTCTATTGATATAGATTTTTAGTTAAGACAAAATGCTTGTGAAAACATTGATTAAATGTGTACGAGTAGAGAATTACTGCCAAAAAACTGATGTGCACATTTATGATTTGAGCAGAACAGCCCTTAAAGTACAATGTTAAGTTTCATTATTTAAAAGCTTGGCAGCTAACAGTGTACAAGCCACATAGGGGAGGGCACAGAAACAGCCTTTGTAGTCCATTTACCAAAGATGACCCAGTCAGGGTCTGAGATAGAAGTCAGCAGGTGGCCAGAGCCATCTTAGGGTGTCGTTTCTGCATTTCAGCAGATATTTGCTCTTTTGTGAGTTAGGGGTACTTAGGCCTTGCTGGGATTCACCCTTGCTAAAGCAAGCAGCTAGACTCTTAGTTTGAATTCCTGGAGAAAAGGGAGACTGGGCTGTGTTTTATTGACTGCCACAGTATCCTCTGGGTTGGGTGGTAGCAAAAAAGTGTAGTTTTATGAGTTAACCACTCAGTGCAGGGTGAGGAGAAATGGAAGGATCAGATCCTCTTAACTCAGAAGCATCTCATTGAGGTGCTGGGTCATGGAGCAGTTTCTTTAATGCCAGCAGAGACCATCAATGTAGGAAACTACATTGAGAAGAGGCCAAGGTGTTTGGGCCACACATTCTGACAGGCTCCTTTAGTCCAGTGAGAACAGAAGTCCTGAAATTTGCATTCTAGTACAAAATTTAAATAAAACCAGCATATGAATGTGCTTGAAGGCTACCCAGGATGTGCTAGAAAAGAGGAAAAAGTCCTATTTGAAAGAACAATCCACCTGTCTTATCTAGGGGCTCAGCCTCATAAATAGGTCTTTTAATGAATGAAAGGTGATTCTAGCTTAGAGTTCATGATATACAGAGATAGTCAGGCAACTTCAGTGCTTTAGGAGATGTGGTGAGACATTGAATTAATTTTACTTGTTTTGGTCTTTTGCCATCTCATAAGTTTCACCAGGAGCATCTGGGACAAAGATTGGGCACAGAATGCTGATGGTGATGACAAAGAATTGTGATCAGGAGCTGGCTGGGCTTGGGGAACTGTGGAGGAGGATGTTTATGTTGAGGACCTGGCAGGAGGCAACCCTTATATACCCAAGGGCTCGACTCTGTGATTTCCTGAGCCTCTGTCAGTGACTCACTCCACAGGAAAGTAGCACCAGGAAAAGGTAGTTACATTAGGGACAAACAGGTCAGGGAGAAGGATAGATAGTGCTCCAATGTTAGTGTCTAAGACTGAGGTTAAAACTTATTCAAAGGACAAAGGGAACCAGGGTCCAGTCTCCCTTCTATGCTGACCTTCCTAGAACCCCTGTCCTTATACCCCTCTTGCCTGGGTCATGTCCACTAAGTGGATTACTTGACCATAGAGATCTGAAGCTCTGGCAATACCCACAGCTGGCCAGTCTCTTGGAGAGAAACCAGGGCTTCTCTCATCCATGCTGGAATTTCATTTAGATGTAAACTTTTCCCCAATCTTTCCTTTTTCCAGATTGGATTCTGTCTTGATTCTGAAACAAGTATGTGTGTGGGCCAGGGAGGTTCAATTATCTGAGCCTCTTGTTTCTTCATTTCTTAAACTCATTAATACAGTCAAAAACTGGTTGAGAACAGTCTTGTCAGACATGCTGAGTTCTGAGACAAAAGAAAAAATTGAACAAAGTATTGACTCTACCCTCAAGGTGTTGAACTGCCAGACACTAAATAGTAAAATAACTTTATAGCACTGTATAAGTTATGAAAGTGTTACTTGTCATGTATCCATTGTACTGTCATATAGTTGACATAATGGATAATAATCACCCCAAGGATTCATTGACCCACTGACCATTATTGAGCAATTACTGTTTGCCAGTTACTGGTAAGTGGGTAGAAAGAATCTTTTGTGGCACTCACAATTTACTGGAAAATAAAGACAAATAGACAATTTTAATGTGGGGAAAAATTAGACAATTTTAAAAAAGGGATGTGAGACGGGTGATATAAGATCCCTTGGGATAGTGGTGTCTTCATAAGACTGAAAAAAAAGCTCTATGAGAACCACCATAGGAGCAGATTAGCCAGTCTTGATGAGTCAGAGGAAGCCACCTGCAGGGACAGAGAGCTCCAAATTGAGCCCTGAAGATTGGGCAAGACTTAGGCTGACGTGGAGAGACAAATATTCCAGGCTGAGGAGACAGCAAAGGTTGAGGAACGTAACAACTTGGGGAGGCTAACATGTTCAACATGGCTCGGCCAGAGTGTGCCTGGAGAATTGGGGGAAAGTGAAGATGGAGTGAAAGGTTTGGTTCAACTCTGTGGAGCCTTTCCAGCCATGTCTAAAATGTAGATTACCTAGAGGAACATTCAAAGATTAAAAAGGAAAGAGTTAATTGTGCCTTAGCTCACTGGGTGCAGTGTGATAACTGGTTTGGAAACAAGGAGAGATCAGAAGCTTTTGCAGCCATTTCAGGAGGAGAGAATGGAAGCCAGAAACAAGGTAGTGGCAGATGGAAAGAAGATAGTTTATGAAACGCTTGGGAGGCAGAATTGACGGGTGTTGGGATAGTTTTGTGTGTGGGGAAGGAGGAGGGTAAGTCAAGAGTGCACATTCTGTTTCGGATTTAGCAACTGGATGGGTAGGCTGATTCCTGAGACAGGGTTCATGTAAGTGGAGCTTGGAGAGAGGTCATAGTTGCGGGCAGAGATCTAGGCATCATCAAGGTGTAGGTGGGAGGAGAGTAACAGGTCATGTACAGAGAGAGTGTAGCATGAGGAAGAAAGTGCATAATGTATGAAAGGGCAGGGTGGGGGGTGGGTGTGGGTGGGAGAGGATCCAGTGAGACCAAAGAAACATATTAAGTGGAGAGCCATGAAACCAAGGGAAGAACAAAGATTGGGCACAGAATGCTGATGGTGATGACACAAAGAATGAAGAGCTTTCACTGGCAGCAAAGGATGAGTTAAGTTCCGCTGGAGAAGGAAAGTTGAGGCTTTGGAAGTGGGGATATAAATTTCAAGAAGTTTGTGATGGCGATGAAAAAAAATAGGGAAACAGAACATTGAGTTTGGAGTGTTTAAACTTTTAGGCAGAAAGCACAGTGGAAGAGAAAAGTTGAAAATTCAAGAAGGTGGGGATTGGTAATGGAACAAGCCTCCGAGAGAGGCAGGGTGGTCCTGGAATCCCAGTGCAGGAGTAGCCTCAGGCAGGAGCTGGGTAGCTTCTGTCATAAGAGGAGGAAACAGCGCTGACATTCAGCCGTCTTGCACTGGTACCGCTCAACCAGTTATTAAAACACTTCTGTACCAGTTAGTAAGTAGTGTAAGAGTAACTGCAATAAGCAGTAAAAATAATTCGTAAGTGGGCTTCCCGCTGCACCTGAGAAGCTTTGCAGCGCCATCTGCCAGTGCGGCAGCATCACTGCAGGCTGAGAGATTGCTTTGCACTTTCTTTATGAAACACTAAAACTGCCTGTTTTAAATTACCTTTGAACTGTGGAGCTGCTACTGCTTCTAAACAATTTAGTTTCTTTCTTGATTTTGTTGCTAGTACATTGTCATTCTTGTGCCAGTAGCAAGTTTCAGTGTTTTAATATTTACAAATTCAAGAATTTTTAATAAAATATTAAAGCCGAACTTGAACAAAGAGACAACAAAGTTTGGATATGTTTCTTAATGTGCCTTTTGAAATATTATAAATGAGAATATTTTTGTTTCTCAGAAGAACAAAAAAGAAATCACGTTAATGAGCTGCAGCCTGGAATGTCTTCTGTTATGAAAAAATCCACAAATAGTTTGGAAATTCTTTCTGGCTTTTTATTTTGAACATCTCCTAACACACAGTGAAAAAGGACAATAAATATCTAAACACGGGCTGAGGATGTGGCTCAAGCGGTGGCGTGCTCACCTGGTGTCCGCGGGGTGCTGGGTTCCATCCTCAGGACCACATAAAAATGAAGATGTTGTGTCCACCGAAAACTAAAATAAATAAATGTTGCTGGGGATGTGGCTCAAGCGGTAGCGCATTCGTCTGGCATGCGTGCTGCCCGGGTTCGATCCTCCGCATCACATACAAACAAAGATGTTGTGTCCGCGGAGAACTAAGAAAAAATAAAGAAATATTAAAATTCTCTCTCTCTCTCTCTCTCTCTGTCCCCCTCTCGCTCACTCTCTCTTTAAAAAAATAAAAAATAAATAAATGTTGAAGGATGTCCCCCCCCTAAAAAAAATACCTAAACATGTAACAAAGATTCAGTGAGCCCTGCCATTTTGCCTCACTAACCTCTACCCATCTTACTATTCACCTGCCTATTTACTCTTTTTCTTTTCTGAACATTTGAAAGCAAGTTGCAGACATCATGATCATTCCTATCTAAATAACTTCATATATACCTCTTACACAATCACAGTACAATTATGTCTAATGAATTAATTCCTAAGTCTAACAGTTTATGAACTTAAATGCATTTCTAAAAATTTTTTATTATTTTTTCTGATGTTATTAGGTTTCAATTTTTTGAGCTTTATTAAAGTATAATTGACAAAATTCTTACAGCACTCAATATGTTTTGAGATATAAGATTTTCAAATTCCACACACTGCGTTATTTAAACTGTCCTCTCCTCTCCCCTTTTCTCTTTAATCTAGAGCTTTCCAGTCTTTTTTTCTTCTTGGAATTGACTATTTGAAGAGACTAGGTCAGTGTCTTATAAGAATGCTCTACATTTTGGATTTGTGTCATTGTTTCTATGATGTCATTTAACTTGTTCCTTTCTCCCTTTGTATTTTGTTTTAATTTTCTAAATTAGATTCTAGGCCAATCTTAATCCATAACTTGTGGCAGAATCAGCAAATTGCCTCAGGAAAAATTGACCAGTTTCCATAGCTTATCTGGGAACTCTTTCCTCCTTAGAATTTTAGTTCATTTAGTCTGGTTACCTCTGCAACTCTCTGCTGTCTTTATTTTATTTTTGTGGTGCTGGGGATTGAAACTTGGGGCATCTACCACTGATCAACATCCCTAGCCATTTCATATTTTCTTTAATAGAAATGCCATTGTTTATTCTGCTGTATTAAAAAGTCATCCTTAAGTAACAAAATTTATTCTTAGAAGTAATATATTATTTAGGTCATAAATAATCAGCAAACATACAACTGTTGACATCTAAAAAATAAACGAACATTGGTGTTTTTCATTAATGCTGAAAACATACCTGCTTAGGATTTATTTATAAGATAGTACAGTACTCAAACACAAAAATTGGCTCACATGCCAAGTCCTTTCTCTTCTGTCTTGTCAGAGGGACTTGATGTACCCACTATATATTGGTCCCCAAAGCATGCTGAGTTCAGCAAATGTCTTGATGATATGTTAGCATTATGACTGATTAGAATCCAGTGGAATTCTGGTGAAATTAAATAAGGATCTGACTTCATGAGCCCCTCCCTGGTGTGGATGCATTTCCTTTTCTGAAGGAAGAGTCTGCAGTCCTTGGTGGGATGTGAAGGTCCTCACCTCCATGGCCTTTCTGCACCTGGGGGAGGTAATGATAGGGTTCTGAAAGTAGCTGAGGGCACTGTTCACAGAGTGGGCAGGGATGGAGGAGTGGGAGTTGAAGATGGTGGTGGTGAAGGCGCCTTGACCAAGCACAGGCATGGCAGGACCATGCACCTGGTGGTGTAGGGCCATGAAGCTGAAGTTTGGGGAAATCAGGCTTCTCTATTTCACAAACACAGCCTTTTCTAGTTTTTTTTTTTTTTTTCTGGTTAGTCCTCATGAGGTTAGTGAGATAGATGGTGGTTGACTAGAAAATGCCCCCCTGACATGAACCATCACCCTTTTCCCACATTCTTGATGGAATCTATGAAGTCAATTGCCTCATTGTATCAGGAATTGTGAGACCTGCCTTGTGATTGTTTCCCACAAGAATGCTCTTCTGCTAGTGTCCTTCAAAATGGTTAAGGCAATTGGCTGAGACATTGATCAAGGTAGTGATGCCCAAGGCATCTAGCATGTCCTCATGGGAAGCACGGTAGGCACTGTCCAGGTACAAGAAGGGCAAGATCTCCACTGGGACACTCTGATCTTAGAGCAGGGTGCTGCAGGAACTGCATCCGTATTCTGCACTGTCAGGGACACTAGTACTCAGGGGAAGGCTAAGCCCCATGGAGGTGGACTGTTTACAGCACCATTCTGGGCAGGAAGCTGAAAAAACTTCATATCCTCCTTTGAGGCGGATTTGTGCAGCCCGCGCCTTGCGATGGGCTAGGGCCACTGTGCAGTGGCCCTTGGCGTTGTTTAGGGCGACGCTGTGCTAGTCCGGCTGCACCACGGCGTAGTAGGTGTTGGCCAGTAGGCGGCAGCGCAGCTCAGTGTTGGGCACGACGAGCTCCAAGGCGCCCTTGGCCTGACGCCACACTAGATGTCGAGCCACATAAGTTGACGGAGCCGGCAATGTGTCCAGCGTTGAACTTGAAGAAGCTCCAGTCCAGCAGCAGGTACCAGCCGCGCGCTCCCGCAGACCTTTGACAGTGCCCACAGACCTTCAGGACCATGGCCAGCTCTAGCACCCCCGCGTGCCCGGCCCTTGCTATTCTGTCCAGGAGGCCAAGGGAAGGGCAGAGGCTTTCAAGGAACTACATGACCCTGGGTTTATGTGCGGGAACCAAAACCTGCTCTAGGACCTAGCGAGAGATGCTACTCCCTCTCGCTGCCTGGTTTCCTCGTTTCTGCCTTTTTCACCCTGGTCTTTCTTACTCCCTTTTTATTTTATTTTTCCTTTTTATTTCATTTTGAGATAGGGTCTTGTTCACTTGCACAGGCTGGCCTTGAACTTGTGATCCTCCTGCAGAAGGCTCCTGAGTACCTGGACTACAGGCATGCACCACCATGCCCTGCTCCCTCTCTCTGTCATCTTTAAAGATGTGGTTTTTATTTTCTGCAATCAATTCAGCTTTTCTATAACTGTTCTTATAGTCACATATATCCTACCTGTAAGCAGAAGTCGGTACTAGCAGATTTTTTTTGGGGGGGAGGGGGGAATGCTGCTGGGGATTGAATCCAGGGCCTTGTGCATGCATGGCAAACACTCTACCAACTGAGCTATATCCCCAGCCTTAGTAGCAGAATTTAAACACCATCTAAAGTATAGCTCAAGAGTTGGGCATGTGGGCTGGGCTCAAGCGGTAGCGCGCTCGCCTGGCATGCGTGCGGCCCGGGTTCGATCCTCAGCACCACATACAACAAAGATGTTGTGTCCTCCGAGAACTAAAAAATAAATAATAAAAATTCTCTCTCCTCTCTCACTCTCTCTTTAAAAAAAAAAAGAGTTGGGCATGTAAAATGATGAACTACCATGTGTGAGGTCCTGTTCTATACCCAATACTGCAAAAATAAATAAATAAAATAAAAATATATGTATGTATTATGTATATACACACACACACGCACATGTATATACACACACGCCTATATAGTTCAAACTGAGCAAAAAATCAATAAATCAGGGCTGGGGATGTAGCTCAAGCGGTAGCACGCTTGCCTGGCATGCATGCAGCCCGGATTCGATCCTCAGCACCACATATAAACAAAGATGTTGTGTCCGCTGAAAACTAAAAAATAAATATTAAAATTCTCTCTCTAAAAAATAAATATATATATACCAATAAATCAAATAATAACTTGTTGAGAATGTGTGTCTACTGAAATGAGGAAAATTTTTTTTAAAAAGATTTTAAGTTAACCATTATCAATGAAACTTCAGTAATGTACATAAGATGCAGAACCTTGAAAATACTTTAATGATTGCTTTTGTTTGATCTATTGAAAGTAGAAGAAACAGTATCCGAAATAATATAGCCCACTTTATTGTGAATACTTGATTGGTTTTATTTAGTTTTTTTTTTTTTTTTTTTGTGGTACTGGGGACTGAACTCAGGACTTGGGCATGCTAGGCAAGTGATCTCTGTCACTGGCTACATGCTCAGCCCTATCATGGGTCCTTAGCTTTTTTTTTTTTTTTTTTTGAATCCAGGTGCATTTAAACATTGAGTTAAATCCCAGCCCTTTTTACTTTTTTTTTTTTTTTGGTACCAGGGATTGAACTCAGAGGCACTTGACCATTGAGCCACATCCCTAGCCCTTTTTTGTATTTTATTTAGAGACAGGATCTGAGTTGCTTAGCACCTTTTTTGCTAACTTGAACTCACAATCCTCCTGCTTCAGCTTCCTGAGCCACTGGAATTATAGGCGTGTGCTGCTGTGCCTGACCCCTTTTTACTTTTTGAGATGGGGTCTTGCTAAGTTGCTTAGGGTCTCACTAAGTTGCTGAGGCTTGCCTTGAATTTGTAATTCTTTTGCCTCATTCTCCTGAGTTGCTGGGATTACAGGTATGTGTCACCATGCCCAGCTCTAAATGTTTTAAATTGGAACTATCTAATTCTCCAAATTAAAACATGCGATTGAGGATATAAATTTAAGATTGTGTAAGTTATTTTAAATCATTTGTTCATAAATAAATTACTATATATTTAAGCATAGAAAATTTAATAATATATCTAAAGAGCTTGGAATTGAAGTAATAACATTAGAGTGGATGGATTTCTCAGCAGCTTATATTTCTCCTACCGAAAAAGAG